TTCGCTCGCGCGCAGAATACTTTAGTATATGTTATTGCGACGCGTTACTCGCTGACGCTCGTAACCCTTTCGCAATAAAAGATTCCTTAAAGTTCAATATCACTTGTATAAAAGTTCAATCTTTACGATAGGTGTCTCATCATTCACTCTAACGTATCTTGACAATGCGCTCAGCCATCCCCATTCTGTTTTGCTGCTTGTATGCACTAAGCGCGGTTGACGCTACTCCCTTCTCAGAGAGAGGAAATGCTGAAATTCAGCAAGGTAGTGCCAAGGTTGTCGAACCTCAGAACTTTTGGTCGGATGACAAGAGTGATGACGATGACAAGGATGACAAGGATGACCATCATGATAAAGACAGCGCCGATAAGTGTGCTTCCCGTTCGGTTTCCGTCTTGCTTGGAACCAGCACTTTTTCCATTCCCTGCTTGGGAGCCGGCTCTATCGTTGATATTAATGGCCTTCTTGCAGCTGCCTTCCCTTCGCTTGTTCCCTCCCCTATGCCTTCTTCTGCTGCTCCCAGCTCTGTTGCTTCCAGCTCTGTTGCCTCCAGCTCTGCTGTTGATTCTTCATCTGCAAGCTCCGTCACTACCACCACTGACAGCACCACTGACAGCACCACTACCACCACCGATACCACCACTACTACCACTGCTACTACAACCACCGATGACAGCATTATTCCTCCGGCATTGTAATCGGATGAATCTCACACAACTTGCGCGTCGTCGTTTTTTATTGCCTTGCTTGTAACATATGCTCGTTTTGATCTCTCTATATTTCTCCTTACATATGGAGAAAGAGTGTCATTAGACTATTCTTAGTGGACTGTAGAGCAGAAAAATATTTTTATGATTAAATAAACAACCCTCATAGTAATGAAATCAGCTTAACAGTACTAGCAGTGACCATAGAAGTTGGAACAACACTGATCAAGAATTTGCCAACAACTTACCTTTTCTTTAAGTGCCTAGACTATCGAAAAAGAAGAACAGCGTTGGAAGACATTGCTGTCCGCACTGCGGACATGCTTTCTTCAGATTTATGAAGCACACTCGCAAGCCCTTGGGGTCGAATATGGCGTGCTGAAAAAGATAATGCTAATGATCTTATGGTGATATTCAATGAAGCGCTGCATCAAGCTCCAAAAAAAACACAGGCGCTGAGACTGTACCACTTTGTACGTTAAATGTTTCACAGTAATTGACAGAATTTTCGTTAGATGATGAAATAGAATGTTGCTTGGGAGATACCATTTTGAAAGATCAACTAAAATTTCGTTCGCAGCTTCAATGGCTCAACCAAGCAATCTCAGTTACTACGCTTCTGTATTCTGGGTAATTGGACAGATATTGAATACTTGGCTTTTGTATTCCGCTATGAAAGAAAAGGTGAAAAACAGTCTTGCAGGAGATTGTCCTAGTTCTTTGGACTAGACATACAATTGTTACGGAAGTCTGTTACTTTGAGAAATATTCAAATAAGGTTAACTAAGTTCTAGAGAAATACAACATGTGGATCAACTTTCTGCAAAGGAGATAATGAGGGCAGACAAAAGATTATTGTTCACGGCGTAAGCGCGTATATGCATACTGTATCAGCATTATGCGACTTTCATGACATTTTCTACATGATCTTTGTGCATACGTCTCCTTACGCAATTTCAGTGAATTTTCGTTCATTCATCCGAGTTTACATTTACAGACTCTTTCCTTGAGAACACTTTGCATGCTTGAATGTATTTTTCAGTCGCTTAATAAATATGTAAGATGATGAGTGTTCCGATCAATAGCCAACAAAACTTTCCGTTACAAATTGTACTTAGTGCAAAGGAATAGGCAACTGACGCATTTCCATGATCTCTAACTATGTATGCTAAAGTTGCAAGAGCAGTAGCTGACACTGTTGATATATTACATCGCAGGTGACCCTTAAAGGTGCTTCAGAAACATAGGTATAAATCCGTGACCTTGCAATTCAGTGGAGGCTCTAAAACCAAATATATGTGCGATGTGCCTATCTGCGGCATGATAACTTTGATGAGTGTATCAGCAACATGACGTTTTAAAATTTCCAACCACAACTTAAATGAATGAAAAAATGTTTCTTTAAACTTAGGTGTGAGAATCACATCACTGAACATGACCTCCATTTCCTAAAATACAGCCCGTTTGCAGTAAGTAGGTAGTAGTTGATGTCAAATTAATATACAAGCAAGCAGGATCATCTAGATGCTATTTACAAGGTTGCCGTACTAGAATGCATACAGTGGTTCCTTATGGCAGCCACTAGACGCTCCATTATCAAAGGCTTCGTAAGGTAGTCCTCCATACCGTTTTGTTCCGACGCTTTTCGCGCAATTGCTCTCACATCAGCTGTCAATGCAAATATGGGCATTCTGTTCAGATTATCTGTAGCTTCGATATGGCGAATGCGTGCCGCTGCTTCAGGGCCATCACACTGATAATCATGGAGTTAGGATAAAGCCATGGCGTTCAGAAAAAGCATAGCATGAAATTTACCTTGGGCATGTGATGATCGAAAATTGCAAAAGAGAAATGATCTCTTTTACTGGACGTAAATATATTTATAGCCTCTTCTCCATCCTTCACACTTTCAACTGCAAATCCAAGTTTTTGAAGCTGTCTAACGAGCAGTTTCTGCGCAACGGGGTTATCTATGGATTGGTGTTAATAAACCAGGTAGTTACGATGGCAATTGCATTACGCATATATACCTTCTGCAATCAAAACATTGTTGTGTGTACTAATCCAAACTTCTTCCTTCACAGTCCAGAATGTTTTATTCCTCGACCCTGAACTTGGATTTGGTTTGGTTTCTTCCTTTACTTCCCGTTGGGATATCGGTACCGATAGTATTTCCAATAGAGCTTTCGTGAAAACCTCTCTGCGAAGCGGCTTAGTTATTCTGGCGCTGGGTGTATACTCCTTCCAGTAATTTTCATCTCCAAGTAGTCTACGGTGCCAATCAACAGAGGAATGATATAAAACTATTGTTTCGCAGGTCAGCTTTTTTGTTTTGATTAGCGATTGGAGTTCCTCACAAAGACCTGGCTGTTGTATCAATGGCAGATCTATAATCAACAAATCGATACTGTGACAGTCTGAAAACAGATCATTTGTGAGTTCTTTCACAGTAATTGTCAAATCTGGCGTCATTGATTGGACCATCTTCGCAGTTGGTAGGTGTGTAGTGGCCAGAAGAATTTTGTTGCTGCTGAGCTTTTTCAAATGAGAGTTCGACCTTGTCAACTGCGTGGGATAAACGCATTTAACTTGAACGGTAAACCAAAAGGTTGAGCCTTTGCTCTTTCCTTCAGATATCACTCCTATTGAACCAGACATGAGTTGTATCAACTGCAAACAGATTGAAAGACCTAGTCCAGTTCCACCGTAAAGCCTAGTTGTACTGCCGTCGACTTGAGCAAAAGGCTCAAAAAGACCTTTTTGCTGTTCAGGAGCAATTCCAATACCAGTATCAATGACTTCAAAACGAAGAGTTGCATACACGCCATCCTGATGTGTATCTCTGCTATCAAGCTGACAATTCACCTGGACATCTCCATTTTTTGTGAACTTGATGGCATTACCTATGAGATTGAGGAAAATTTGTCGTAGTCTAGCAGCGTCGGCTAATACAGTACTCGGCACCTGATGGTCGACAGAGTATGTTACATTGACATTGTTTTGTATGGCCAACGAAGCCATAACATCAATGGCGTCAGCAATAACGTCAGGTACACTGGTGGGGCCAAGGTCTAGTAAGGCTTTATGCGCCTCAAGCTTACTGAAATCCAGTAAATCGTCTATAATCTTCAGTAACATTTGACAAGATTCTTTGGCGGTTTCAACGATATCCAACTGCTCATCGTCTAAATCAGTTTCCGTTAACAGTGATATCATGCCGTAAAACCCAGCAAAAGGCGTTCGTAGTTCATGCGATATGGTCGCCAAAAAGTTGGATTTGGCTCTATTCGCCTTTATAGCTGCCTCTCTGCTTTCTTTGGCGTCTCTCAAAGCAATTTGCTGCCTCTCGATCATCTTTGCGTTATCCTTCATAGCGCCTTGAAGACTGTTGAAAAGCCTTGCGTTGGTGACGGAGATGCCAATTTGCCTAGTCAGAGCCTGTAATGATCTTACTTGTCTTCCTGATAGGTACTTTTGGTAAGTTTCGATGAAGACACATCCTATCAATACCCCTTTGTAAAGAATTGGCGTGCAAATTGCAGACTTGATAGAGCAGTATTCATCCAAGAAGGTTGTTCTTGTCATCGAGTCTGTGACAATTGTCGGCTCGGAAACTTGCATGGTATGGAGAGCAATACGAACCAGAACATGGTCTATAGAGCTTTCTAACCTTTCTGGAGGAGATAGATATCTGCAGCCAGAAGTTTTAGAACCTTTGCCCACAATGTTCAATTCTGTGCCATCCTTGACGATAATGACACCGCTATCTGCGCCTGAGCTTTCCAGAATTACTTCGAGCATTTGCTTCATGAGCAAGTCAAAATTCATCTCACTGGATATAATCTGACCACTCTTGAGAATAGAAGCCAGATCAGCAATTTCCAAAGACATCAAGTTTTCGTCTGTTTCCCCATATTGAAAAGATTCAGTAGATTCCTTTGCACTTGAACGCTCAACGTTTATATCAACTCTGGCAAATTCAGTCTGAACTGAGACTTCTATAGGCAAGGAATCTATCAATTCCAAATCCTTGTGATAACCTCGTAATTGACGAGCTTTTCCATATGAGCCGTGAGCACTATAAGCCGACAGTGCTTTTTGTAGCATAGCCTCGGCTACGAAAGTGTTATCTTGTCGTATATGATGTTCGCCAAGCAGCTCATAAAACAATGCAATTTCGACGTTCCAGCCACCGGCTCGAGCCAATTTCAAAGCCTTTTCGTAATGTTTTTGTGAGATGTGTAGTTGATTGTCCAAAGAGGCCAGCTCTGCATCAAGAGCAATCACATACATCTGATAGTTGATAGGCGATATCTGCGACCATTCTTCAATCAATGACTTGTTTACACGAATTTGCTCCATGTATCGCACCCGCACATCATCCGCGACTGTTTTCTGGTGCAATTTTCGAATGAGCGAAAGGCTGAAATAAAAAAGCATCCAACGAGTGTGACGATGACATGGCTGGCTGTCCAAAATGTTGAAGCATTTAAAGGCGAGCTCGATAGCAAAATCGTCGTGACCAAACATATATAAGCACATTATCTTGTACGAATAATGCCAGTTCATGACTGCATCACTTTGTTCTCCGGTTGGAAAAGATTCCTCGATGAAGTCATTGTCATTGTACTCGTCATCGTCGAAAATGCCTTCTGCAGTGCCGTAAGTTTTTCCTTGTAAGGCGAGAATGTTTCTTTTAACTGCCTTGATCAAGTTATAACTCTCAGTTGAGGTTGTCCAACTGTTGATGTAGAGGGTTAAAACAAAAATTTCTTTCATAAGGCACTACAATCAATGCATACTCTTACTTTCTAATCTTGACACTACTGTCCCAAGCTTCCTTCATGACTTGATCCAATGGCATACCACTAAAATACATGGCAACTGCAATACGTACAGGAATATATCGTGCAAACATAGCATCGCCAGAGAGAACAGCATTGTCATATGCTGCTCGCAAAGGTGCTATGTCTTTCTCGATGTGATTGTTGAAAGTGCTCATAAAGGTATAATAGTAAAAGGCGGTCCGTGCCTTTTGGGAGTGATTTCCATACTTCTCACTAATTTGAAGACCTAATTGCGCAATGTCACAACCGAATTGGTATTTTCCGTATCTTGTCGCAATAAAAGGTGCAAGGATAGTGAACGCGGTCCCAGAAGCCACGGAAAGGCCATGTTTGAGAGACGCTTCTATTATGGTAATTGTATTCGCAAATAGTGAGGTATGCTCGCCTTTCCAGAAAAGAGAAATACATCTATGGTGGAAGGTAATTAATACAGGTAATGAGATTGGCATACCACATTTGATCATACTTACAGTTGTTCCATGTTCACCATGGTAGCATGCAAAATAGGGTCTTGAGAAGGTTCAATACTCAGTATGTTATCCATTCCAATCGCCGATATCTCATGTTCAAGTCTATTGTACGATTTGTCAACTTGTTCCTTCTGTGCCTGTCTTGCAACCGTGATGAGACCCAAGTCGTCAATGGAGATTTCCAAGAGTTTAATACTCTCTTCGTATTTTTTGGAAGCATAAAGATGCAAATAAATCACTTTATAAGCGCGTGAGCGATCGATGCCGTTCCTCGCCTTGTAAATAATTTCGTCAGCTGCAGCTCGACTGTCGGCCTGATGAGCAAAAAAGCAGTGTAATTGAGAGAGGTTGTGATAAATATGCAGCGTTTCATCGTAGCTGGAATCTTCACCGTCAACCCAAGGTGATGGTGCTAATAGTGCGCGTGCGGATTTGCAGTACTTCAATGCCATATCCTGTACCCCATTTGCATTAGCCTTATCCATCGCTTGGACTAGAATTTTTCGATAGATGGCTTTCTTTTCCAATTTGCTTATGATCCGGAATGCTCCAAGTAAATGGTTTGCTACCCAAAAGACATCAAGGCTAGATTCCGTGGCATAGCGTTGCGCAATTTTGCTTCGCATATTTGCTTTCTGCTCCTCATCGATCATCGTTGCAGCGGCGCGTAAATATCGCTTGTGTGCAAAAGTATAATCATCTAGTCCAGAAGCATGGATGAAGCCATGTTCAAGGGCATGTTGTAGACCAAGTGAAGATTTTGACATGGAGTCAGTAGATGATTCCTCGTCGTCCGAGTCGCATAGCTCTAATGATGTACCATCCAAATTATGCTTATAATCATCGGCCGCCATAAGCTGAGATACCGTTTGAAACGAAAAGTTCATTCCCATTAGAGATGCCCATTTCAACAATTCCTGACCTTCCACTGGCATACTTTCTATTTGTGACTTAATTGCAATACGAGTTTAAATGACTGAACAAGTGAATAAAAAGGTATGAAGCAATGACTTACGGCGATATAGTCAGTATCAGAAACCGGTTCATCGCTATCTTGATTTACAGTTGTAGCTGCTCGAAGCTCTTCAAAATCATAATCCTGTTGACATAAACGCAGCGTATCAGAGAGGTAAGCAAAAATAAAAGTCAATTTGCCAAATTACTATACCCAATACTGTTCGTCTACGTCGTAGTAAATTATATTGCGACTCGCCAAACTCTTGAGCAGTTGTGATATTTTATAGGCATTGCCCAAAGAATCACGGTATATCAAATCCACCATAGGTAACAGGTCGGCGCGATCAGTAAATTCTTTGCGGTTGAATGAGGCTGCAATTAAGGTTACAATATCTGAATATTCCAATGGAGGAAGCTTGATGTCTACAAGGCTCTTGTTAAAGTATTGAGCGAAAAGCTGAAGTGCTGGAGTTATTTCGTCAGTTCGATAGGTAAATACAAGTACAAGTCTGCGGTTGGTAGTGGCAATGGTATTCAGGAGTTCTAGAGAAGATTCGTCGGTGTGATGCAAATCATCAAAAATCTGTTTGGGTAAAGGCAGCCATAAGAGATTAGCAATGGCTAAGTCGAATTGTAGTAGGAGAACTATCGGCACTTACTATGGTACAAAGCCTGAAGGTGGTCAAGGCACGAAAGATGCTTGAAATGGCACGATGATACAATGTTTTTGTTTCAAAAAATGTTGCTACGTGATGAAACCCTGTCCTTAAAGGTTCATCGCGGTAATTGAAAAACTCGCCAATATCTTCAAGTTGATCCAGAACTTCAGCAGGCAAGCCACGAATATCCCGGAATCCACTTTTACGCAAACAGTGATCCAGAATTGATTTGAACAGCTCAATCTCCTCGTCAGATTCAGATAGCACCCTTCGCAATAGATGCTTTAAGCTCAGCAACACATAATGGTAAGGGGAAACTTGCAGAGAATTCAGACTAGCTGTAGCAACATAGCCATGGCGCCGGGCGTACTCTTGACCGCATAGCGTGATCTTGGTTTTCCCTGTGAGAATAGTCAGAAAATTGATGTTGTCGAGTAATGTACATTGTGGTATTACACTGCATTTAAAACCATACTATCTGTTACTTACCAATACCTTCATCTCCATGTATAGCTATCACCGTTGCATTTCTCGCTTCAGCTTTCTGAGTGGCTTCTTCGTCGTCACTGTCTATCTCTTGCAGCTCTTGGAGGTCTTCATACTCGTCAATTACATTCGCAAAATAGCTACGTGAGCCATCGGAGACAATGGTTGGAGGACTACTTTGATTAGAACTGTTGCGACGATCGGCTGCAGCTCTAATGGCGTTTGAAATCGTATGTAGCTCTGCAGTTCTTCCGACGGTCTTATTCGACATCTCAAAGCTGAAGGAATTATTATCGACACCTAATTCGAAGTTGATATCTCGGAGTGCAGCTTCGCCCTCCACCGCCTGTAACCGTACTAAATCTGCATGCAATGAGGTGACATATTGATATCGATCATGTGGATACTAATTGGTGGTTGTTAATAGAAAGTTGATTGTCGACTCTATGGAGATATCTGTGCACTTACTTTGCTTGTAAGCTTCTCTACAATAGCCCAAATGATTGGAGGATACGTTGCCTTCAGTTCTTCAGTCAATGGCAGTGGTTTCGTCAAAATATTACGCAAAATTATCCTTGGGTCTTGATCCATAAATGGTAAACCTTGGCTAAGCATGAAGAAAAAGGTGATACCAAGACTGTATAAGTCTGTCCGATTATCTACTTGATATGCCGTTTGACCAGTTTGTTCAGGAGCCAAGTAAGCCAACTGTTCGTTTGACATGGTCTGCGAAAACTGCTTTCGCATATGCATTCTGTCCATTATGGATATGATTGATTCTGGGGCACGACTGCTAGTCTCAAAATCCCAGATTTTTCTAATATTCTTGGAATCAGGCTGATATAGGAATGAAGATGGCCGTATACCAGCGTGGACGACTAGTGTCATTCTGGAGCATTAAACAAGGAATCTGCCTACAGGCCATACTGCGAAGATCGACATACCTTTGTGAGAGTGAATGTGACCGAGACATTCACAAATCTGCACTGCTAGTTTGAGGAAATTTCTAATGGTTTGATATCGTGCGTACGGCGTCGAGCCTAAGGACAGCAGCTTGCCATCGTATACTTTGTAACCTGCAATGGAAGATCGAGTCTTAGTCCCCTTTAAATCATGTACAATGCATGTTGCTTTCGTCCTGTTCCGTACCGTCATCCTCAAAAACTAAGGCGGTTATTTCTTCTGAAATTAGCTCGATCGGTTTAACAAGGTATTGGCCGTCTACTTTCGACGCTGATAATCGTGTTGTTATCTGATATTCGTTTTCAAGCTTGTTGGCATATGTGGAGAGTTTGACTATGACTGGCTGCTTGTCGCTTAACCTAGGAAGCTGTTGTCAGTTTCTTTTAAAAACAATACTACTGCGTCAAGTATATGATCCTAACCGGTAGCCACTCGCTATAGCAACAGGCGCTAGTTCGTCATGATAATCGATTTGGTCGAGTTGATAGCTTGATTTTAGTGACGTACAAGCGTCTAATGGCACTACCATGGTAGAGCAAATGCGAATATGATGGCAGACAGTTGGTGGAGAAAGAACCAAAAAAAAAAATCACAAATAACCGGCCGATAGATTGTAAGTGGTAGGACAGGTTAGCACCTAAACTTTCAAAAGCTTTATTTCCCACTTTCGTCATCTACCTTTGTGGCGCGGATTGAAACTCAAACAGACCTAGGCAAATGTCTAGGCTGTAGCCCTGATTTTCTTTTTAAAATATCATATCCCATTGCCTATGGTCCTTCTCCCACTGACTCCATTTCGGCCCACAGAATCAAGCGCTTTCACCACTATTATTGCAGGTGCAAGAAAAATTAACATCTTCATACATGATCCATTGAGAATTTTAATATGTCGGTTCGCAACACAGGCCACTCGTTTCTCGCTCTACCAAGTGAAATATATACTCCGACTAAGCGTCGGGAGAAGTCTAGGGCTCTATTGAGGAAGTCCAGATTTTATTGGTTTGTCGCTGACAATCTTGAAGCATTCACCTGAGCCATTAATCCCGACATATAAATGGAATGAAATATGGACATTTACAGTACACATTGATATAAGGCAAGATAATATTGTCTACTACAAGTATTTTCGCAACCTTTCAATTCAGGGTAAAATAAATCCATTGGTTAAGTTCCATCAACTAAAATTTTCAAGCCCTTTTTCTCTTCATACGATTTAGAAAAGTTCATTTTGGGAAACACTTGACTCAATGCAAATATGGGCAAGTATGGATCGAATTAGCCTTCCAGAATAGGGTGGTTTGTAAACTAAGAAAATCCCACTGACAGTTAAATGTTTGCAGATCATTGGGTTGGGTTTCGGAGTTGTCTGATCTTGACGATGACACCACCAACTCAGGATACTGGCAAAATACAAGCCACCGCCCACGGTTGGCAGCTTTCATGTGTCTGATATATGTCCAGCGATGGTGAAAATATCATCATATGCGCTCGATGTTGTAAGGAACAGCAAACCCTCTAGGAAAAACCATATTAATTCTGCCTAGAAAGCACCCGCATGCTTCTGTTTAGAATACAAACGAGAAAGGCTAAGCTGATTAGATTGAGACCATAACTTAAAGATTGGACCAGCCTATCCTCCGTCAATCATTTAGACTGGTATCTTAGGCCATGGAGAGTACGCTGGGGTGACACCTACCATGATGGTGCTCATTGGTTTGCGCCTGCGAACGTTGCTGTGCAAGTACATGTTGTATCATCTGGCCTTGCTCGGCCAACTGAGCGGCAAAGGCACTGCTTGTAGCTGCAAGGTCTTGTTCTGCCATTTGTTACGTTAATGTTTCGTTGCAATGTTGAACAAGCGAAAGAAAATGAGTCAATGTTGTTAGGATAATTATTTTTCCCTTTTACCATAATTTCATTGCTATCTGAAATAAGAGAAGCTCATGTTCATTTTAATACCCGGCCTGAAATAATCAAATTTGTATTTACACAGAAAAAATTACATTTGTTGTAGATAGTGTGGTGAACAACTGAATGCTTCTAAACACTTTAAATGCAACATAGACCCACACTATTTGACCCAAGTTCCATACTACAAGAGGTCTCCAGTTTGAACATTGCGTCTGACTTTCATTCGCGAGACTAAAAATGATAGTAATCGATTAAAGTGCACAGTATTTTCCAGTTTAATCGGCTGTTTGCAATTCTTGTCTTGTACTATCTTGCGTTCTATATGTATACGAATGCTCGAGGGTATATGTATGATTTTTTACATAGCAAAATATAAAATGTAAACTTACGATCTTGAAGAAGTACATGACCATCATTTGATTATTTCTGTACAAGATTTTGAAAAAAAAAAAAAAAAAAAGTTACAGGACAGCTTCACCATTAATGCACTTCTAAGGTACGTGGTTAATCTAGGACAGCTTAAGCTACTCTAAGTGGAGCGAGGCATATTTGGTGAGAAAGTGGCTTGAGATATCTGCAATAAGTTATATCAAACACAAAATGTAACTGAGGCTTCCGTAAAAATGGTAGATTTATATGACGAATTTTCCAAGGTTGTTGTACTTTGTAAGACTATTGAATTTCGCGGGAGATAAGGGAATAGCAATAGAATTTTTTCAATGCTTCTATTGACTGTACTCACCGTATATCTACATTTTTGAACAGCCTTCTCGACCTTGAAGATTTGTGATTGACGACCAAAAGCTACTAGCTGTAGGGCAATTTGTCTCGCTCCATAGCTGGCGAGCCTTACATATTCAAATAGACAGGTGGTGCAAGATAATACGATCTTTTCATTTAGAAATATTGTTAAGATAAATTTTTGGTAAACTCTGCTATTGCAATCCACTACTTATGACATTCCATTTGGATGAGAGTTTGATGCATATTCCTGAAAGCTGAGTCCCCGGTACCGCTTTTTAAATTTTATAGGCCCACATAGAACGCTGATATTTGCACCGGTTCTTAGCCGAGACTAGACCCCTTCCATAGCCGTAAACTAAAATTTTATATGCTGTACTATTACAAGCATGATAGATTACTCTTGATTATGACCTTTAATTGAGTGATGCGCCGTAATAAATCGCCGTTGATTTGGTTCTTTGCAACGTCCCAATTTTCCAAATGCAGTAACTTTTCATGGTGTTTTGAGATTCCGAACGATTCATTCAATACCTTATATCGTCAATATCAGCATTAGTATACATCTTTGAGTAAAAATGACTGCAAGCTATGTAAAAGAAAGATTCAAGCGAGTTTATCGAAGACACTTGGTTAACGAACGTGCCCCTGAACACGCGACCTCTTTATTGCGGTAAGGTCGGATATCGAAATCTCATAAAGCTTTCATTCTCCTGTGCAACCTCCTTTAGAGTAACTTTTGTTCATCATGGGCCCTGAAGCAATTGACTACCGAGTTTCTAAAATTGTGGTACTATGCAAAGATTGTGGGCAAGATGTCGGAATGTATCCAGCTCGACACAAGTGTGACGAAGTAGTTCGTCCTCCACTACCACCTTTGCCGACATCCAGCCAGCTCAACGGGATGCAGAGTAGGAGTCCTATCAGGGATCGATCTCCAGGACGATCGGACAGGCCAGTGTCACCTCCACCCTCTCCAATGCCTTCCAAGAAAGCAGAAAACAACAGAAAGCCCAAATTTGGTAGAAACTTGACTGCTGAGGAAGAGGAGCCTGCAGATCGGCAAATCTACTTTAACGACATTGCAGAATCTACATCTGGTTCGTCTACACCTTCATCTGGAAAGAAGTTGTGGGGGAACTTAAAGCAGAACGATAAATGGAAGCAAATGGCATATGGAGGTAGGGGAATTAGAAAATGGCATGCTCTATCTCTGCTTCCATAGATGTATTTACCCTTTGTTTGCATGTTTCGGCGTCTCTAGAGAGCAAGCCATCAAATGGTGCACGTCTATGGGATAAGCTGATTTCGGCAACCCAAACTATGGCTGATAAGATGCCTAACCGTGATGATAAGGGACCAGGTACGAAATTTCGCTTTTGGAAAGGGTATGTTTCTGATAATTTGTTCCTGAGCCTCATCTTCATTTAGATTCCGATGAATCCGACTGGGAAGGAGAAACGCATGTATCGCGAGTCTTGAGAGAATATCACGAAAAAAAAGGTGGATCGCTCCCATCTTGGTTGCGGGATGCTAAGACACCATCTGCAAGCAAAAGCAGCAGCCAACGTGAGCGCTATAGCAACGAAGAAAGCAACAGACTGTCCGAGAACACTCGCCAGCGCCAACGTTTGTGGGAGGTGGAAGATGATCCAGCAGACTTAACGCCACGTGAGCGTGAAAGACAACGCTTGCGGGAACAAGCTGAAAATCGAGATAGCTACCGAAGGCAATACAGTGACGATGTACCTAGTAGACAACGAGACAGGTCGCGTGAGCCAGATCCTAGACATGACACCAGGCGGGCACCTAGTAAATCGGCCAACACCGACCATTACAATCATGAAGAGCGATCTAGACGTCATGAAAGAGAAAGATCAAGTCCCCAAAACCCAGGTGATTATGACTTGGACAGAGCTCGGATGAGGTCTATGCGTGAACCGTCCAATACACAAAGTCGCGAACCGCAGACTTCGCGATCATCCAGGAGAGAAATGGACGAATACGATCATAGACAGCATCCGTCATCAAGACGCGAAGTGGATGACTACGACCAAAGAAGGCGACAGCCATCAAGGCGAGAAATGGACGATTATGATGATAGAAAACACCCTTCGTCCAGACGAGAGATGGATGACCCAAGACAACCACCTTCATCCAGACGACAGCCAGACAACTATGAACTCAGGCACCATCCATCTACAAGACCAGCGGACTATGATGCACGCCAGCCACGATCTCGTTCGCCTATGTACGACGAGCCTTCGGACCGAGAGCGGTTGCGAGGACCTCGCAGAGCTCCGACAAGAAAGAAGTTAGATGATGACATGTTAACAGGAGGATACTTTTAAATGTTTGATATATACCATTTTGTTATAACCAAGCTTTCGCAGTTAAAATAAAGGAAGGCTCAGTTATTTTTATGATTGCCGAATTGGGCAGAGGGGTCTTTGAAAAAAGAAGTAATAGCTTGAGGCTGAGTCTGGCCTTGAATGTGGCTCAGCGAGCAAGGACCCCTAGCGTAAATTCTCGGCACTTCTCGTTTTTCTCTTCATTTTCAACACTTCTTCACAATGGGCATGTCAACTTGTTGCTGCTGCATTCCCTTGAGGTAAGTATTTTGAAGCAGAAAGGAACAAGCTACATTCAATCTCATCCTTTCCATTGTAGAATCGGAGTCATTATTATCGCGGTATTCTCAACGGTACATACCTACAGCCCTGACGTGAACTATACACCACCCCACCCGCAAACTTACTCAATATCTTGTTTACAGATTTTATATGCCTTGGGAACTGCCTCTCTTTTCATTTCAAGGAATCGTAAGCTGTTCGTTCCTTGGTATTTGCCACCTCCTTTCCAGCATCTGATGAAATCCTTTTGTAGACGCAAGTGCATCTTTCCCTATACAGTCCAACCAATATACAGCGGTTTTCTGGACCTTGGTTGCTGTATATATTCTTTATACACTCAGTTCGCTTATTGGTGTTGTTGGAAGCATCACTCAAAGACGACGCATGGTCCTCTTCTTCAGCATTCTCAACTGGATCATGGTTGTCTTGACGTTGATTGCAACTTTTGCTGTTTGGATCATATTGTTGGTCAAAAAATCGGATGTAGAGACAGCTTGCGAAGCTGCTGTTAGCAATAGTATTGCCGCCAATGACTCTCCATACCATACCCCCGTTGCCATTCCAAATCAACAGGTCGATATCCAGAACGCATGTCAAGAAGCCATCAAAAATGCAAGTATCATCGGCGGCGTTCTCGTTTTTGTCGGAAACGCTTTGCAGGTAAGTTGACAGTCTTTGTTATCAAGTGTGAGAGAAAAACCACGATGAAGCTAAATGATTTTTTTTTTCAAGTTTTACTTTGCATCCGCCATCAGCGCTTATGCTCAACGTTTGAAGCGCAACAACCAACATCAAAAACTAAGAGATCTTGACGATTTTCCCTCCGCTAAGGGAATGCCTGCCATGGCAGCCCCAGTTTACTAGGCGAAATTTATAAAAAGAAAAAAAAAAAAAGTTTTTCCAATTGATGTGACAGAAATCAGCTTTCAACCTTTGTATCGAAATCCTTGATGTATTTATATTCCAATTTTCCTGAAGCCAATAAATGTATATGAAGGGTAAATCAAATGTATGAGAGCTTCAATAGTATCCTCTACCATGGTCTTCGTATGAAATTGGAATCGTTTTTTAAGCCATGCCTTAGCTGAAGAACGATGGCAAACAGATAATGAAAAATGAGCGGCCTCTAACATTGTTTTGCTTCATACCCATTATTAAAATTAATATAGGTTCAGACTTAGTCGACCCAACCAAGACTAGCACTTCTTAGTGTACGACAACCATCGATGAAGTATATCAATAAGTACCTTTTATTCGTAGTTTTTATGTATAAGCAGTGTCTTTATACTTAAGTGATTCTACAATCTATAATACAACGCTTGCTTCGCCAACGGTAAGTGACACTCAGGAGGAAAGACTAGCTGAGGCACTCCAGATCTTGAAGTTTCCAGCATAAGACCCATCGGACGCCTTCTCGTCTCCAGCAAATGCAAGGTGATATTCAAATGGATGCCACGCAACAGTATTCATAGCTGCAGAGCAGTCGATATGTTTTACGGATTGACCAAGGCGAACATGAGACTGTAACAAATCGATATTGGTTTAGTGACTTTCAGTTTTAAAAAAAAAAAGGTGGTGAATTACTCACAATATCGACATAGCTATCCTCGGATGCAGATGCCAAAAACTGGCCATCATAGCTGAAGCTTATGGTGCGAACCGGCCATCTGTTTCAGTGACAAGTCAGTAAACTCAGCCGATGAAGCCCTAAATTGTCCGTAATTACGTACCTTAACTCAGTAAAGGATCTCAAGCAAGTGTAAGATTCTAGGTCCCATAATGACACTGTTGCATCAGCAGAGCCAGCCGCAAGATAGCGTCCTCTGGGATCAATTTCGATGCAATAGCAATTCGCAGTATGAGCGCGAAGGGTATGCAATAGTTTAAATGATGGGTAATCGAATATTTTGATGGTGCCTTGACCAGTCGTCAAGTAGAAGAGATCACCCGATGTGTTCCAGCTAATTTCGTTCACTTCCACGTTATTAACTTGCTGGTCAACGATTTCAAAAGTCCTCGTGTCTATGATACTGACAGTATCATTCTGCAATGATAATGAAAGATTAGTAGACATTAAGAGACCTGCTTATTTATGGTATTCTAATATACCTTGTCTCCAACAGCGATGTGATTACCATCTGGACTCCAGCAAATGTTGATGTTTTCTCCTTGCGTTTGTACAGTTGTTGTACATTTACCAGCTAAACAGACAAATTTAGCTTTCCTTGGATAGGTAGAGGCGACAATGTTATAACAACCTAAGCCCACTCACTTCTTTGATCCCAAAGTCGAACAGTACGGTCACATGAGGCTGTTGCTAACCGATCTGCATGTGTAGGGTCCCAATCGAGCTGGTCGACACTATCAGTATGTCCACGAAGTTCGACCGAATAGCGCACGTCAGTCTGATAGAACGCAAATTGGTTAAACATAACCCCCATGCCTAGCCGTACAATCATTATACATACGCCTCTGTGCGGTGTCCATATCCGTGCTGTTTTGTCGACAGATCCGGAGGCTAATCGTCGCCCGTCACAGTTCCATGCAACTGTATGAACTTTTTCACGATGACCTCTGTATTCCTTTATTTTTGAATCCGAGAATAGCTTGCTAGCCTATAAATTCTCGCGTTAACTGACGATTTTCCACATTTTTCATATTATATACTGACTAGTTACCTCCTCTTGCGTGTATTCTGAAATAATGCTGTCTTTTTTGCTAATCATGTCAGTGCTGGAATTCTGGTAGGGCTCGTCTTGAGTTGAATTGAAATTTGCTGGTGTTGACTGCTCTTCGGCTTTTTAAAATTTCCCAATCACCGACTCGTGTGTCCACATTCATCTTGATCCAATCATCCATCATGACCCCACCACCCGCTTGGCTCAGCCATCCTTTGTTCAATGTTGCAAGCTTCTTCATTCTTGGCCAAGTTGCCAAGCGATTAAACCTCGAGGATCCTGATAACCTCTTCTACGCTCGAGCTGTTTATGTCATGGCTCAAGCAACCATCATCGGACTGTCGTACTGGTTGATATCCAAAGTTGATAAAAAGAACGGTAAGCGTTATCAAAGTGAAAAGCGTAAAATAGCAATAAGAATATTTTCACTGACAATTGCTTTCACTAGACACTACTATCTTGCGTTATGTCGAACCTGCAAAACCTGATTGGGAAGGAAACAAGGGTACTGAAAAGTTGGTCGTCACCAACCATAAGGGTGAGTTCCTTCTCAATTGTAACGTCACTGTATTTGTACGGAGAGCTGACATCAATACCTTGATTAGATTATGACATTTCAGAGATTAAGAAGACCATCACTCAGACTTTGACCGGTGTTGGTATTATTGCTTTTCTCCACTTGCAATTCAAGTTTACCCAGCCTCTTGTAGTGCAATCTGTTCTTGCTTTCAAGACCTTCTTCCTGTCTAAGGAAGCTCTCATTCACGTTTGGGGTGAACCTACAGTTGGCGTTCTTCGAAGACCATTCAAGAATGAGTCTCCATTCGGTGGTATGATGGGTCAAACGTATCTTACTGATAAGGCATCTATCAAGCGCGCCGAAAAAGCCATGAAGAACGAGTAAAGTTGCGATCTCTAGGACTGCAGTTATAGATCGAGAACTGCAGAAAAGTAACAAGTTAACCCTGTATATTGATGCCATGCTCAAGTGTGTAACATTGGGATAATAAAAATTATAAAAACGGCAAACATACGAGCAGCTTCTGAAGCAGTGTGAGGTTTACTAAATGGTGGGAAGAAGGCTACGATTGTAGCAGTGACCTTCTGTTCAGCAAGCTTTATGCAACAACGAATTTATCGCATCATGGCGGACTTAAAAACCATCTGCTACCTGTCGAAACCTCAGAATCTTGGTAAACTTTTACCTATTCGTAATGCACAGGCAAGCCCTCTGAATCAAGTAAACCTAGACATAATGGTGTTCTAATTCCAATTGCCTTGTCTTTAGTGCAATATCTACCTTTGACACGTAATTATGGTAAACGAGCTTGAAGCGCGAGTCAAAACTTGAAACGAGATCCATATCTAACACTTGCTGATATCGTAGGACATAGTTAATGTAGTTGAAAATACAAATGATAGAGAAGAAGAGGCAGAGTTAAAGGAAGTACGGGAGCTTATGGAGGTACGTTGATGCTCCTCTCAAACTTGGTACTATTATCCAAGTCTAAACTCTAGCCCAGTTACAGCGACAGATACCACCATTATTACCAGCTTCCAGCTACACGCAGTTCAATAAGCTTTTCAACCTTGGAATCCCCGGTTGGAGCCAAGAAGTAGAAACAAAAGAGATGCAGGACACATTCTCAAGCAAGTATAGTTTGCGTTTTATAACCTTGGAGCAACAATTCTTTATTGACACCACGCTTCTTAGCTTCCATATCGTCAGAATATTTAAACGACATACTGGTAAATCTACAAAACCATATGGGCAAATGTGCAACAGATATTACCACTGAGCAAAATAAGCTTTTATTGCGATGCAAGTATCTTGATGATACTGCGGTGATGGTTACGAAAAGAATGGCACAATCTCTAAGCCATGCTACCGTGACAGCCGAAAAGATTAGCCAAGGTAATTAAGTCAGTTAGATATACAGCAGGCGATTCGAAAAAAAATTAACCATCATGTCGAATTCCAATGCAGTAACTATGCTCAATAAGCAGAGCAAAAGCGTCAAAGCAAATTTTGGTACGGTGATGCGTGGGTTAAGGGAAGTCGAAACCATCCTCATGGAACGGAAGGTGTTGGACATAGATAGCATTGAAGGCTCTTCTCGATGGCCACTGCTGAAACATTTCAAGGGTCAGAAAGATGATGATAGTGAAGACCATGTATATACCAAATCTACAGATGAGCTTGAAGCGCTGACGGATTCACATTTCGTACTTTCTGGCACAAATTCTGGGCCACACAAAACTAAAGCTCCCGCATCATCGATACCCGCTTCAAAAGCTTCCTTGTTACCGCCATCTTCCCAATCACGACCAATGATAGTTCGAACAAGTACTTCAAATTCATCCTTCGCTACGCATCAGTTGAAAGAGCTGGCAGCTGTTGCTGATAAGCAGGAAGAGAAATTTAAACTTTCAAAGCATCTTACGAAGTAGCCTTTATTGATTGGATATCTCGCAAGGTTCCTATGTATAAGAATTAGATAATACCACCTTGGCCATTGTACCTTCAAATTTTCTTAGTCATCCCTTTACAAAGGTACACAACAAGCATTATAAATGGTATAATAATTACACCTCGTTATGTCGCATGAAAATTACCACTCTTGGTAGAGAGAACGCATTAATTCATTCAGTGGATGATACACAAGCACGGACACTGAAACTACACTGAGCGTCCGCTATGGTTTAAATATCTGCTTGATACTCCCTACATGTCGTTACACTGTTTTGCAGAAGAACAGAGTCGTTTCTCTACTTTCATATTGATAAAGTTTCAGATCTATTAGAGAATTATATGCACCCGCCAATAAAAAGATAGAAATGCTAATACTTTTTTTACACACAGAGCTAAAAACTGACTACCAAAGCTGAAGTAGATCGCTGGGCCAGTTATGAGATTCTCGCGCTGGCCAATACTTTCCGTTGTATTTCCAAGTCATGCCGGAGTTGTCAGTGTCATTGCTGTCATCGTCGAATTCAGCTTCAGTAAGCGAGAACCATCTTGGTTCAAACTGCTTGCCTTCTGCTTCTAATTTCTTCCTGTAATCTCTCTGCTTTTGCTCCAGTCGCTGCTTTTCGATATCTGCTTCCTCCACATTTCCTGTGAAAAAGCGAGATGAATTAAATATGTTGGTAGCAAACAGGGTACCTAATCGAGCAGTGTCTTACCTTCTTCATACATCCTCTGATCTGGGCGGTATCGAGTGTCGGTACAAGGAAGCTTGCCACGCTCCAGCTCGCTGATTTCGTTCAGTTCGCAACAGAACTTTGTGAAGCCGTAGTAGCGCTCATGATCCGGTATGCCAGGAGACTGGGCACGCCACAAGACCTCGTATTGATCTTTACCAAGTTCTCGAGCTAAGCTTTCGCTCCACTTGCCAACGAGCTTTCTGCTTTCCTTTCCATTCTTGTCGCAAATGCTGACGGAAATGATGTTGCGTTTGGTGGGCACACCAAAGAGGCCACCACCAGTGCCTTCCTTAAAATGAACCATGGCGTATTCACCCGTTTGATGGTTCGTCACGCGCATTTCTCCAACGTGTTCCAGATATTTATTGCCAGCAATCATATTGCGGACCCAGCTGGAGGGTTTGCAGTAGGTATAGTGGTCCTGATGATCCGCCAAGGTAACATGAGCGTTACCCTCACTCATAAGCTCCATAGATTTTCCCCAGAATTTACTCTTGACTGCGGCATTTTGCCAGAAGCAAAAGTTGGAAGACTCTGCGATGGCCTGTGATAGCATTGAGGTTTAGTTTAGAGGAATGCGATGTGATAGAATCTCGTTAGGCTAACTGGTTAGGTACTCACCGCCACAACTGGTGGATTGTGTTTAACTTTTTCTGCAATAAATCGGAATCCTTTATCTGGGCGGATACACTCGTAGGTCTCGCACATCATTGGGTTGAAAGGCTATGAAACAGCGAATCAGTCAGCGACATATTTTCATTCTGCTAAGCCTGCAGTATGCATCTTACCTTTCTACCTGTTCGATACTGCGTAGAAGCATATCCCGAAATGGCAAAGCAAGCAACATACATCAGGCGATCCATAGAGTCTTCCATGCTATTAGCCTTGTCAAGAAGTTCTGAATACTGCAATTCTTCACAAGCTTTTTGCAAGAGATTGAGAGGTTCATTCATGGAAATAGGCATAGCAATATTGGAAAGATCCTTTCCAACATTCTTTCGGAAAACAGATAGTGCAGACGCAGCTTCACCAACAGAGGGTGACGGTAACAGCTGTCGGCGCTTGACATCTTCGCCAAGCATCCCGCTGAGTGTGGACTTATGATCGCTATCACCGGAATCTACATGAAAACACCGATTAGTGCACCCATCCATGTACGCTAGCTATCCCATAAACCTTTGACCATGTCACCAACCTTCCTCGTCTTCTTCGTTTTCGTCTATGATGTCATTCTCAGCAAATGCGTAATCATCGTCATCATCGCTCAAAACAATTTCTTCAGCATCAAAGAATATGTCAGAATGATTGGAGGTGCGATAGGAAATGAAGCTGGCTGTTCGCTTGTCGACGGACAATGAATCTCTCGAACTATCAATATCATCATTGTTTTCAACTGTAAACCCGTTATCCCGCTGAGATGTTTTGGAAAATTCTTGGTAGTTCTGATGAACCTTGTGCCAGAACGTTTGGTCGTCTTCGAATGCTTCAGCCACCTGGTCCCTCTGCTTTTTCATCTGGTTGATGGCAGTAAGCAGCTTAAAGTGCATTTGGGATGGGTCGACCTCATCTCCAACTAGAAGTTCAGTGCCATTGCTGCTCTTGATCGAAGAAGCCGAGGACGATGAGTTTCCGCTGATGGCAGGGGGTCGAGCTGACGACAATGACTTGCTGGCAGTTCTCCTAAAGTTGAACCGACTACTGCGGCTTGGACTTTGCCCGGCGGATGAAGTCGCCGAACCTCCGCTGTCACCAATCATGTTGCCCATGGTATCCAATATCTTGCGGATGTTGTTTATTTGTACATCCATACTGGCTAGGTTTTCGCGAACAGTACTGGCCGTCTTTGCTTGGTCAGCTAACTCGCTTTCCGATGAAGGTGCGGGTATGAAGGTGCCATCGCGTAATTGTTGAGCACTGGCGACTGTGGACGTTTTGTGATAACGCAAGGCTTTCGTCCATCTTTCAAAGTCATCTGGTGTCAACGCTTTTAGATGGTATATCATGGTTCCGGAATCAATGTGAATGAGGCTCTGTTGAGGATTGACAGAGATAGTGGATAAGCATATTTGAATGCTACCTCGACATATGGAGTTGTTATGAATAGAGTATGACAAAACGCCAGCAGATGACAAGTAGAACCACCGCTTTGCCCAGCCTGATGAATTTAGATATGATAGTTGTGGTCAATAACCTTATTACTACAGTGGTAGCACTCATTGCGATTACCTTGCATCTTCTTTCTACGTTTTTTCAATATCCATCCGGCAAGCTCAGTCTGTTCGTTAGAACCAACTTGTTCACCGTCTCCTAATGCAACGGAGAACGTAAGCGTTTTGGAAGTGTTCCTAGAAAATGTATTGTCTATCCACAAACAGAAAAAAAAGATGAGGTTGATGGGCTTGTTGTCTCGTGCTCAGCTACTAAGAAAGAATACATACCAAACACAAGGGCATACGACCCGGGTTCGTCTACGAGGTAATGACCGGAGACTTTGTTATCAGCGGAATTGCAGTGCTCGATAGGCAGTATCTCTACCAGATTATCGGCCAATTTCTGGGTTGCCACAGACTTTCTTCGAGATCGAACAGATGCAGCAGAGCCTTGTTGAATGGAGCCTTCTTGGTTATCCGAGCTATAATTGCTTGGTTCATGTGAAATGGTAGGTCTGCGGCCAGACGGAGTGCTTGCATTGACTGAACGAGTTGATGGGGGCGATTGAGGGGATGATCGAGCTGTGTCTTGGGCATGAAAAAGTACATCGGAGGAGGACACCTGAGCTTGGTTGAAGGTACGGTAAAGTCCAAATGCAATGTTTTTTCGCTTTGTAGAAAACCACCAACGAATGGTGGTCCCAGCATCGGGCACATATACATAGTGTATGTAAATGTCACGCGGCTGGACTTGCACAACCTCCATTCCTTGACAAAAAGTTGATGAATGGGGGACCGAAAGAGAAAAAAAGTGGGGAAAGGCATATGACAAGCACTCGTTATTTATTATTGAACTTCCGCTGAGCTGACCCAAAGATGATTCAGCTTGAAATGTGCAATTATGGCAATTTACAGACCCACCCACATACAGAATGATCATCTCTTACAAGCTCCCATGCTCCCCAATAATGTGAATCTAGTTTAAGTGCTGCCACTCGAACAACGTTGGTACGACTGACGGTTTTGATGCGAATATAGCCTTCATCGTTATCATCATCATCGTCCGAGTCATCTGCCGCGACCTGAAGAACATCACAATCTTTCACAGGAGGTTCGTCTTTTAGTGAATCCTTGCGTTGAACGGGAGGAATGTATTTTGATCTTCTTCGTCTATTTTTGGCGTGCTGTTCGTACAACTTGATAGTCCTTAGGAAAGAGTCCAGGTCATTGACAGGTTTGCCTTGTATTTCGCTAATCCAAACGCCGGGCCGAAGTACCGTGGAAGCAGGAGAGCCATATAATGTACATGAAACATAGACTCCTGTAGGAATGTTTCTAACTTGCTCCAATACTGCTTTATAAGGCATTTGGATTAAAGCACCTTGCCAACCAATCACTCTTGTCGTCTCATAACCACTGAATGTTGAGGTGGGGATATCCAGTTCAAGCTCAGCACCGTCTCGGAAAACTACCATTTGAACGCGCTCCATGTTCTGTACCACACTGAGTTCGGCCATTCGAGTGACGATATTTCCATTAAGAGATAGGATAATGTCGCCGACCTTCAAAAGTTTGGCACTCTCACTTCGTTCGTCCAATGTGTTCAAAACATACAGCAAAGTATGTCGTGAGTTCTTGCTTTGTTCCACTTTCTTGACCCATGCATCGCTCAATCCTAATGTACGTGCAGCAGCAATACGCATGGTCCAGAATTCAACGTCTAATCCTCGTAACTCAGGCTTTTCTCCACGAATCAGAGGGTCAATCACGGGTCGAACAAGATTGATGGGTAGACCACACATGAAGGATATGTCTTTTCCTTTCTCGTTTTGAGAAGAATAGTTGACCCACAGGCCCTGGACGTTTCCTTCATCATCACATAAAAGTCCACCTTGAGAATTGATAGAATCATCAATTTTGATGCCTTCAACGTTCATGGCACGCCATCGTGGAGGAGAACATTCCTTGGTCCCAATGTTGCTGACGGAGCTGACGGTAGCCTTCTTCATAACCACCGAGTGATCAGTACCGATACCGATTTGAAACAGTTCGTCACCTTGTACCACCGTCTTGTCACTGAACGTGAGAGGTCTGACAGGAGTTTCCCCAATAAGACTTGCATCATAAGTAATGACAACAAAGTTGTAGAACGGATGTAAAAAGACCAATTTGGCTGGAATAATAATACTGTTGGCAAAGGTTACAAAGATATCGCCAACACTGATGGGCACAGTGTCACGGTCACAGAGAATAAGCGGAGGATCTGTGGAAACAATGAATCCAGTACCATAGAACTGCGTTGTCTTCATACCATCGACAAGGTATGGCAGATAAAAGTCAATAGCAACAAAGGAAGGCATAAGTGACTCTGCCAACTTGAGCGAAGGGTCCAGGGAAGGGAAGCTGGCGGTTGATGGTGCATAGGGCAATGTAGGTGGAGGAGGGGGCATATTCACAAAGTCCCAAAGACCGGTTTCATCTGAGGGAAGTGATCAATCAACATATGCAGAGTACGTTGGAGCAAACAACAATGCCTTACCATTTCTCGTAGCCACTCTGAATTGATGCCAATGTCTATCTACGTGCATAACCATAACTTTTTCTTTGTAGGCTTTTTGTAATGAATAGTATCTAGAGAGGATGTTAAAACGATAGAGCCTTGGGGAAACCTGCCATTTTCTCGATGCTTACCTTATTGGGACTCTGGCGCCATCTGGTAGAGTCTTCATAGCTTCAATGAATGCGTCAATATTGGGTGTGGGAACATTGTTCACACTAATAATGATGCTCTTGCGCCATGCACTTGCACTGGCCAGCATGTGTCCAGAGGTGGCGACATAAACACCACCCACAGGCTGTGAGTAGCTTTTGGCAAGTTGATAGGAAAGTTCGTTCACAATACCACCTCCAATTTCCACAAAACGATTTGGCGTAATGCGATGCAAGTCTTCCACAACAAGTTGAACATCTTGCATTTTCTTGTTTCTGCACACGGTCAGTGTTACAGCTTTACCAACGGAATCATCCAGTATGCTGAATAGATGTGTGAAATTGGCCACCATGTTCGCATCACAGCCTAAGATAATATCACCAGGAACGAGTATGCCGTCAGCCGGACCCTTAGGAAGTAGCGATCGTACAACTAACATTCCATTTTCGTCAGGGAATCTTCTTCTTGCCTTCTCTTCAATATGAGCTTTCAACCCAAGTCTGCGGACTTCGTCATAAGGCAAATATTCAAATTCGGTTTGCAATGTGCCTCGAGGCACAATTTTACCATCACGAACATATGTAAGGGCCCTCTTGACTCTGTCTAAAGGAAGATAGTAGCTAGAGGATGCCTTGCTGGCACCACCGGCATTGAGAGCAACCGCTTGACCTTCAATATTGAGAACGGGACTACCAGATGAACCACCGCTCGTCCCGGAAGCTGCTTGAAGATAGAAGGTATTGAAATCATTGTATTCTCCAACTCCGTATTCAGGTGCCCTGATATGAAATACCAATAAGTTGCATGCACAATGGCATCAGCTGCTAAACAATACTACTTACCGTCTATCCAAACGAGCCAAGGTTCCTGCTAAAATACTGAGCTTCTCGCCAGCATCATTTCTAGAAATAGACGATTAATTCTCATGATATGTATGAGGTGTGTCGACAGACGTAAAATATGACAATTTACCCCACGACCCTGATTTCCAGTCCGACCTTAGCTTTCTCGGGGCATAGATCAATTTGCTGCAGCTCCATGAACTTTACTTTGCTGGGATCGAATTTCAAAAAGCCAAAATCATGAACAGGATCTCTGTATATTGGGATCAAGTCGACTTCTTCGTAGTTGGTCAACACTGCTTGAGCGACAATGGGTGCAGGAGAAACGACATGACGATTCGACAGGATGATGCCTCGTTTAGCATCGACAATGAATCCAGTAGCTGAATACACGCCTGGGAACGAGAATGAATAGGTAGGCGTATCAAACAGTTAGGTAATGGTATTTTGCGAACCATTCATGCAGATGTCATAAAATTTAACATTACCTGATGTTTCGGTATCAAAACTCCTAACATGGCTTGCCTTGATGGATATGATAGCTTTAATGGCGTTTTCAAGAATAGGTTCCCAGGATCTTGCAGAAGATGTCTGGCTTGTTCCAAAAAAGTTGGGGTTCTCATAACCCATAGGTAAGCGCGGAGCGTTCATAGTCCAAGCTAGGGAGCCGTACGCCAGCGACTTTGACCTGCCACGGCTACTCTGTCGGTGCTCGTGAGAAGCAGCTAGGGCTGAGTGCGGCAGTGAGCTACCGTCTTCTTCAGTGAGAGCGTCAGGTGAGGAGGTTTTCCGACGGGATAGTGGATGTTGACTCATTTATTTCAAAGCTGTTGAATTTTGCAATGGCACAAAAGCTTCTTAAACCGAAAAAATATTGGGCTTATTTTCCCTTTGCATGAATGGGTCGATTTGACGCCTGAATCTCAACTCGACGTCACAGTGATGGCGTGACTCGCAAAGTAAACTCGCCGCAAGACAAAACCAAATTCTGGCTTCATATTTTTCGGGCCCAATCGAATTGATGGCGTGCTTTTCATCGCTTTGAAGCCGCTTTCCCTGCAAAGCAGTAGCATTCGAGCGGGCCACAGTCAATAGCTTAGGCGTTCATCACATTGGAACTCCGCGAGCTGTTCATTAACCAAGCTAGCCTCACCAAACGCGATCAAAGATCATGCTATTGGAAAATATTGGATATGTCTGACAATGTGTTATGATGTATACAAGTTTTTATTTTGGCTACAACGAATTTAAATTAACTTACTGTAGTACGTGCTTATGGCATTTGGCAATAGTCTGCTGAGCTTGCAACTGCCAGACCATCCAGTATACAGTAAGGATGATGTGTGTGTCGCTAAGGTGCCTTCAATGACGTTCTTTTTCATTCCGAGAGTACTCGCTCAGTGCTTTACTTAAAAATCGGAACAGCAAATGCTATATACCTCAGGCTCATTAATTATGCTTCTTTATACAAGCTCAAGAAGTATAATAAAATGATGTACGCGGCCGATTGTACATGTCATTATCAATCAGACCTTTGTCCGCATGGGTAATACGTGTCATTTCTACAATAGAAACGGCAGTAGCTCTTTACTGCAGCGGTGTGCCTTTGGAAAGACAAATGTGACTGGCAAATTCAACCAAACTGTTGAAATGAAAATCACATTTTCAAAATCACACTCGTATCTCAGCTCCAAAAGGGAACATAAATCATAATGCACAACGACGAAAACGAAACGAACAGCAATTCAGACGAATTTTCTGACGAAGAGTATGTCGATGCAACGTATGAAACTATCTACGATAATATGCCATCAGGAGATAGCACCCACGATAGTTCATGGACAGCACCGCCGCCTGAATCTCCCATAACGCAAACTGAGCTTCGGAAAAAGATTCAAGAAATCCGTGCCGATCGCAACATGGATGCTAAAGAAAAAGCAAAAGCAATACAAGTACGTGTATCAATTACGCTTTTTATCTGACCTACAACCTTGCATTAAGCTCATTGTCAACATTTATACTTGCAGCGTCTAATGACCACTAAAGCATCGACACATAAACCCCATAGTGGATCTGACAACGACCATACGCAGCATGAAAATGATAGCGATGGAACCCCTGGCGGTGAAACATTAGAGCCCTCTTATCAAGTAAGTTGCTAGAATTAAATACCCTTCTGGGAAGCGTTCCTAACCATTAATACCCAACATAGGATTCTGAAGCAGGCATATACGGATGCAAGCACTACCAAAGAAAAGTCAAGCTCCAGGCGAATTGCTGCGGGAAATGGTATTCTTGCAGGTTCTGTCACGACGATGTTGAAGATCACAATCTGGTCAGGTAGGTCAACAATTTAGGCTCGAGTCGTAGTGGATGAATCATATGGTTAACGGATGACACATTTGGGACTGCAGACGTGAAACAAAAAATATGTTTTGTATGCTTTGCTCTGAGATTCAACCTGCCGCACAAGTATGCCGAAATTGTCACGAAACCGTCGCCCGCTATTATTGCGACACCTGCAAACTTTGGGATGATCGCTCAGAGAAGTCTATCTACCACTGTGACCAATGTGGTATTTGTCGAGTAGGAAAAGGTCTCGGGCAAGATTATTTCCACTGCGAAAAATGTAACATTTGTATGGTGATTTCCTTGAAGGATAACCATCGGTGTATTGAGCGCAGTTTAGAGTGCGACTGCCCAATATGTGGAGAGTACATGTTTACCAGCACTAGCAAGATTGTCTTTGAGGTATGATTGTCTTTTGGTTTTTAATTGCTTTAAACAAATGTATCTAAACTGTGGCCACTGGTGTTTTCAGAATTGTGGCCATTGCATTCATGAAAAATGTCATGAGGAACACGTCAAAACATCATACCAGTGTCCCACTTGTTTGAAGTCACTCTGGGACATGACCACTTACTTTACTCGGATCGATAACTTTCTCAAAGTTCAGACAATGCCTCAAGAATACGAAAATTTCGTGTCCTATATTCTCTGCAATGACTGCGAAATGAAATCACAGACGAAGTATCACTTTCTATATCACAAATGCACGCATTGTAATGGATACAATACAACTGTCCTGAAGACCAAAGAATTGGGCCGACCGGATGATGCCACAACCGACTCTGTCTTACCAGACGATTCACACGGCATGGACAGCTCTAATACGGACCAAGCATACATGATATCATCGCAGCCAGTAACGAGGGCAGGAAACCCTGTAGATGCTGTACAGATGAATGGAACACAGTCTTCTCAAGGTCCTAGAGAACACGGTAGTCAAGATGCTTCGTAAATACACATGCATTTCCACCAACAAAGATGTTTTCCTCATTCAAGTTTTGTCTATAGCTTCGTCTTGTTTTGCCGCAATATATCCACTTTTTTTTTGCGACTCATATTTAACTGAACATTCCCCCCCCCCCAATCTCTCACTCTGTTTCTTTCATGTTATGGGAAGGAACTTGTTTTTAATTTACATAAATTTCTTTTGGTTCTGTTGGACTCGGAACTTATAATATCCAAAAGCAGCTGCAAATGCCACAATTTGAGCAATGAAGAAGTAGGCAATGAAAGTCGTTACCGAGCTAGTCCCCTTTTTAGCGTTATCTTGTTTCGGAGACGACAGCAGTGTTGACAATTTGAGTGTGTTTTCAGCTTGAAGATTCTACAAAATGACGCAGGGTGTAAGGGTATTATTATGAATGAGTACAGTCTCACTATGTTGCCATACCTCTAACGATCGGATACCGTTTTCCAATCTTCCTATTCCATTCAATATGTTCATGACTTGGCTCTCTTGATCGCGTAATCGCTTAATTAATTGTTCCAAAACGACTTGCGTAGAAGATTCAAATGCCCTGCCATGGTCTGGGCTGCTACTGCATGCCAGGTTGAGTACCAATGCTTCATTAGGAACAAAATCAGGAGAAGAGAACTTACCCGCTGTCTGTTGCACCAGATGAAGGTGGCGTTCTAGGCTTTATTATGTCTTCGATGTTGCCACTTGCAATATCCTCTGTACCAGGTGCACCAAGCGTTTGTAGTTGTAGTTGTACCATTTTCAGCTCCTCTACCAGCCTATGCTGTTGATCCAGTACAGCGCCCTTTCATGGTGGACAAATAAGTACATTGATATGCCTCGCTGTAGCAGTGTTGCTCGTCTCATTCTTACCATGCCAATCAGAGTCTGATCGCCAGCTTCCTTTTCCCCTGCCATTTCTCTCAGCACATTGACTTTGTGAGATATTTCTTCAATTTTCTACAGGAAGGTCAGTCAATGAGTAAGTTTATATCAACGTGAGGCAAATGTGTGTTATCACTCAGCAAGGTGCGCGCTTTCATAGCTGTTGAAATTGGCCCAATAGGCTACTTACCTGCTTCTGTACATCATCCAAACCCTCGAACTTTTGGCCTTTCTTAACTTTTTCCGCTTCCATTGGTCGGTTAGGATGCTTTGAATAGGATTAGACTTTGCAAATAATCATTACAGATGTCCTGGAATATCATACCGATAGCTTTGCAGGCGGGTTTAGTTCCCAGGTTTCCAGCGTAATGACATCATGGTCGTCCGCAGGATTTTGGGACGCAGCCTAAAGATATTGCTAAGTATACTATCGAAATTGCCAGCATATGTAAAAAACTGGTACTCACACTCAGGCCAAAAAAGTATCCTGTAGGCAGCTCGACATCCTGTTTCTTAAAGCAGTGGCGATAGCTCGATCCACGGTTTTCACGATCCATCATAACCTAAGATCCAATGATGAGGTGACACATACCTACATTCGACAATGCGATGAGTTTAAAAAACACTTACGGAGAGCGTTTTGTTTCGGTATGTAACTTTAACATACAGAGGTTCATATGTATTCCGGTAATTTTGAAAGCATGAGCCAAGCATATGCTGCGTTGGATCGACCCTAGAGGCAAACTGCTTGGTTCCGTCATTCACCAGAGCCATTGTCATCGGGGACTTGGTCTGCAATGAAAATTGCGTCAGTAGCCTGAATTAAAGAAGCTCACAATAGAAGAAATCATCCTTACCTTTGGGTTATAAGAGTCGAACCAAATGCCAAGGCCATTCCATTTATCCTTGGATCCGAAAATGGGGCCATCTTGATTTGGCTCAGCTGCATACCAAAAAGCCATACCTCTTCCACCTCCCACATGTTGGCCAGAGATTCTCAATTGCATATTGACCTCCCATTCTGGATGTGAGTTAGCAATAGTTGACCATATCCGGCCCTTCGAGCCGGGAACCGAAGGCGCAAGGCGTATAAAGTCTTCAGCCTTGATGACATCTGTTCGAAAGAAGGTAAGTGGTTTAAACACAAGTTATAGCATTGCTTGACGACCATATATACACTTATATCATACCTCCAGATGTCTGCCAAAAGGGTACAGTATTGTTGTAGTAATAAGGCTTTTTGAACGAGAGCTTGTAGTCCAGCTTGAATGGTGCAGCTTGCGGGTTCTCAACTCTGGTAGTCTTTGAATCCTCGTCGGATCCTCCAAAGAATCCGTACGCAGTGGATCCACTTATGCAGCTTCCAATACACGCTATACCGAATAGTATAGAAGCCTTCATTGCAAGTTAGAATCAACGCGTGAAGTGAAAATAAGGAGAAGGAGGCAGGAGACGAAAGTGCTGCAGTCCCCGAAACGGCTGGTCCATTTGTGCGCTTGTGACTGTTGGAGACACCGCATTGGCTGGCGTGAAAGCAACGATGGCCACAGCCAATAGAGCGCCACTCACCCCTTTGTTTTTCATCCTCTTTACTGCCTTGCTGACTCCACTGTTAAAACAACAGGAATAGACAACAATTTCAACTATCATTTACATTGTATTTACACTTGCTCCATTTCTACATAAAAATGAAAGAACGGCCGAATCGAGCGTCAACCCCGTTGTTGTGCACTGAAAGTACCAATATCAGAAGCAAAGTGGATACTTTTTTATCCCAGGTCATTACAGCTTCAGAATAAAGTGTGAATCTTTTTGCTTCACAAAGGTTATTAACTACCTAGTTGGACATGAAATTCTCTTCAAGAGACAATGATTCGAAATGATTTCAACATGCAAAGGGGTCCTCGTTGAGAAAAAGTCATATGTGTATAAAATATAATATTCATTGCCGTACGCTTCATTTCATTCCATAACCATAATGAAACAAAGACTTTTGATGATAACAAACAAATGAATGAGGACAATGTGTGTTTGATTCAGTTTTATAGCTCAAGAACATGTCCGCTTAAAAGCGACCCCATACTATGGCAATCTTTATTTACGAGAAACAATTGCTGACCATGGTGTTCAGGTAACAAACAACCAAGAACTAAACATGAGCAGTTCGACCATGGTTGAAAATGAGTTTGCGACATAAAAAGTTACATTTCACTACTTAATGGTGCGCTGGATACGAAATTGGAACAAAACATTGACGTTTGAATAAGAAGCCATAGTGGTCTACTTCGTAGTTCTGAACTTGCCTTCATTCCACATTTCTACAACTCTAAAAAGCGTAGGTTAACTTGAAGTAATGCTCCTTCCCATTTGAAAATTATATAGGGGCTATGTTTGCTTAGGAATTTTTTTTTTTTTAAATTATTATCCTAAAATTTGTCGTACATGGCATGGAAAGCAAAACTGAAGCGTTGATTAAAAGAAGAAACGTAAATACAAGTACAGTTGCGAACAAGTTCTATGAAAGTACTGCGAGTGCAAAGAAGCAAGCGAGAATCAAAAACAAGAATAAAAAAGAACGACTTAGAACAAACAGCAATAAAAAAAAAAGAGAGGGTTCAGACATACAACTATGCTACTGAAATCTAAACCTAAGATCAATGACCAGCAGTCTTGCGTGCAAATTGAAGGACTTGCTCGTACACTAAAAAGTTCAAAGAATGGATGGGGAATGCTCTCATCAGAGTGACAGACATACCACGATAGAACCCACGGTATCCTTGGCGAGCTTTGATATCGCTTACACATTCCCGTATGGTGTCATATGTTGGCTTTGGTGCCATGATATCTTTTTGCATGACTGATTTGATCAAGTCAATGGGAAATACAACTATCCAGCAAAGGATGCCACAAGTTCCTCCTGCCATAAAATGCGTCAAAGGTCCGGGTGGTGAACTGGGTGAGGAGAGGATACGTTTCGTACTTTCGTAGGTGCCAAAATATACCGCCGTTCCAATGGTATCGCGAACTGGAGCATCAAATAAAAACAAAATTGTTTAGCATTCATTCACCAGAAAGTGTTTTTAGAATAGAATACTTACATAAATGTAGTGAGTAGCCACTCCATAATCCTTTTACGCCTTTCAGTCGGACAATCTCGCGAGCAGACCTCCAACTAGAAGTGGACGGCCCATTTGCCGGTCGCGTGGTTTGTTTTGGGATATCTTCAACAATGGGGGTTACCTTCCCATACACGCTATTAGCCAATTTTTCAGATGTGGTAGATGGAAGGGCAATATTGGGGAGTTTGGGTGGTCTCAGCGGTGATGAAGACGATCGGGTAGCTTGTGTCGTAATGGGAATACCAGCACCGACTTTATGAGCCAGATCTGTTCTCTGAATACCCACTTTTTGACCATTAGCACCATTGGAACCTCGTACAATGGTACCACCGGTCGCCATACTGCTTGTCAATAACAAGTGCTGTAATTGCTGTTGGATTTTCACCAATTCTAAAGGGCAGCTAAATGTTGCAATAAAACTTCCACTGGTCGCTCCTCCAAGTGTCGATACAGCAGCTACAGATAAAAGCGAATCCCGATTGAAGAATTGATAGCGTTCTCTCAAAAAACTTTTCGTGCCTTCGTACACAGAAAACGATACAGACTTGATGATACTGACAGTGATCAAAGGGGGTATAATACCTAATGTTATACCAAATGATCAATTAAGCAGGTACATGGTAAGTAATGATGTAGAAATTGGTCACTCACCTCGGAAATAGCCTCTCATGCCTTCTTCATGGTATGTGCTCTTTATGCATTGTAGCATCGAATCATAATGATGGGTCTGCATTCTGGTTTTGATTGAGTCAAACGGAAATCCAGCCGCTACACCAACTACGGCGGCCGATGAAGCTGCCACCACCGTCCTGTTAACTGTAAACAAAGTGAATGCAAGGGTTAAGAACGGGGTAAAGACGGACAGGCATGAATGAATGGAAGATAGGTATACGTACCCCATAATAATTCTGTTGCAATATCCCGATATGGGTGAATGTGTGGAATGGAGTTTGAGTTGGTTGACTGAGTGTCCTCGGTGGACGGTGGTTGAGATTTCGACTCTCCTAGAGGGGAGATGCTTTCACTGTCCTTGCTTGATCTAACATATAGGGTACATTGAGTTTCAAGTATGCGACTTTGAGGCAGATGGAGGATTTCTGGGGACATGCAATGCTTAAATCATTTAAAGAACATTTCAACTTACTCTGGCACGTCTTTGGACATGAAGGCTAACAGCAAGCTTTCCTTGTTGTAAGGAGAGTGAGTACTGAGTTCGTATTGGTGGGTGGCTGGCAGATTTGGCACACAGGCGTTTCCCTGGCTGCTTGCCAAAAAATACCCTCAAATGAAATGCCAGTCCCAATTTGATCCAATAGCCAAATGTGTCCATTTCCCGAGAGGGTCACAGTGACTAAACTATGATCTATGATCGATGGGCTCCCCGACCGCTTGTTTGATAATCACAAAATGCATCTACCTTCTGAACGTTGTATCACGAGCGGAAGTTATCGGTTAAGGAACGGAGCGGGAAGTACTATGCAAATGCCATAAATTATCCTATTCGTTCAAACCTATGCTTTTATTTATATGATTATTGTATTTAACAAAACTGGTGAAGGGAAATGGGAATCTAATGATACTACTATACAGTGTTGTGTCCCAACCACTTTTTAACAAGTCGTCTAACGCAAGTCTATTGTTGTTGTTATATTTTTGCCTCTTCTTTTTTTGTTTGTATCTTTTGCGTAACAGCAGCCTATAGCATGCATGCACTTCATGGTTGGTTGTCCTGCTGGTCATAATCTTTCTTCTGATTCGCTGCCAGACCTGCTGCCTTTCGTAAAATAGTAGCATCCTCTTCATCCGTGCTAACAGGGCTGTTGAAATTATTTTCCTTAAGGAACCCTTTTTGTTCATGGAAACATTTCCAGAACCGTTGCTTTTGTTTTTCACACATCTTTGCCTTATCCCACCAACTTCCGTCCTTGAAGCACGTGAGAAGATCAGAGTGAAGGTCGGCGCAATTATCGAGGGCAGTGTCGTGAATGGCGCGTTTCTGATCAATGAAATCTCGAACGGCCCATACTACCTTTGGCTCTTCTTGGGGCTTTGTTGGTGCTTCTTGGCCAGAAGCTGGCTCAGACGACGAGAATTTGGGATCATGGGTGGGAATATGTAATCCAGCATGACTTTTAGGGGTTGAATTGCTGGTGTCAGCTGAGGACGAAGGTGGCAGTGGTGCTGCAGGAAGCGATGCAGCTTTTTTGGGATCAAATGAAGGTTGATTCTCTTTCAAAAAATCCTGCGTATCATTCTTGATATCCTTTACATATGCGTCAACGTAGTCTCTTGCGTTGTTTTTTGACATCTTGTGTAGGAGGAATGCGTGGAAAATAGTGACCACCCTTCTGGTGAGCAAAGTATTTTGGCACGTGACTTGCGCCTAGCCATGAAATGGGATCTTTCTGATTATGCCTTTTTGCCTTGGTCTAGACAACTAAGACCACCGCTGTTCTCGCACTTGGATAACATATGATTGAATTATATCCCACAATAGATTTGTGCAAACAAGGAGATCGCCATGCGCCTTTCTAAACCCTCAGCTGATGGATGGTAAACATGACATATTCATTATCGTCAGCGATCTCCTGCACAAATGCTATCTTTTCCCACCCCAACTTATTGTTGTACCAGCCACCTCTCCACAAATAAACTATCAAACCAGCTGGGCAATGCCTGTTCCCACCCGCCCACGCGCACTCTGCCGTACAACCGCAAAGTACTTTGACCGGTAATTTCCGTGTACTGGGGGGTCAAGGCACAACCGGCTGTCGTACATAACGGTGCAATTAAATGTGTGAGTTTTACTTAATTAACAGCAGCAGTACACAGGTAATTTTCATCTTGCCTATTTTCCTTGAGTTGAACGTACACTTTGGTCTTGTCTTAATCTTTCACTATTTGCAAGACCGAACGATGGATGACATCTTTCACTACCTTGATTTTGGCATCAGTGACTACAACGCCAACCTTGTCATAGCTTCTTCCTTCGCACGGATACTTCTTATTGACTCGGTTCACTCCGCAGTTGTCTCACGGGTATTAGTGGCCACACGTGTACGTAGGAACTTTTTTTTCGTAGCGCTAGAGATGTTGGAAAAGAAGCTCGCCAGATCACGAGCGAGTGTGACATGATAATCCCCTTATAGTAAAAGATAAGGAGCGGAGTGGCGACTTGTCCCTGAACGCCACGCACGTTGTATAGATGTTGAAGCCAAAAGTCACCGTGGCATAATTTTTCTCCGCTTATTTGTTATATCGTCAGCCAGCGTGTGAACTAAATGAACCGGGGATGAAAAGAAGTCATTTTCCCGATAACACCGACGAACATGACTGAGTCTAATATAAGATAAACCAATCCTATCACTACATCCTGCTTTATGGTTGACTGCGTTGAAAATGCTGCGTAAGGCAAGTTCTGAAGCACACAAGGGGGGGCCAAATGGGTTACAAAGGCCATAAATAGCAATAGATAAGAAAGACCCATTTGCCACTCACATGGCTTTTCGTTCTTCCCACAGTCGGTAAGATAAGACCGGCGAACGACTTATTAGGTAATAGTGGAGTGAGCGTTAAACCCTTGAAACTGTAGAATGGGGGGTATACGTGCAGATAGGTGGGGAAGAGTGTGGAGAAGGAGGCTAGTGTAGGTATACGTGCATGCATCTCTAGTAGACATGCCATGTAAAGTGAGCCGATACTTACAGAATTTAGTTTTTCATTGTGTTGTTTAAATTGCCAATACGGTGTATTCAAGTATTTTTCCAGCTGGCGGTGCTACCCCCCCCCTCAAAACGCCGTGTGAAATCAAAACTTTATTTGCGATCAATAAAAGATAAGTCCGTGCGGAGCCCCATATCATAGATGAAAGCCTGGATATAGAGAGCTAAAGTGTTAAGCTAATATGATCAAGCAGGTAAAGCAAATAAGAGGGTGCATAGGTGGACTGTAGCGTACCACTTTTTTCATTTTCCTATTTAAACAGGCACAATCGACTTTGAAGGCTGAAGTCGAGTCATAGTCGATCCAGGGCGGTGATTGGCTGAAGCATTCAATCCTGGGTCTATGATTTGATGATGGAGATTCAAAGCCAGATCTCAAATATACCATTCATAGCAGGGTATAAACGGGATTAGAAGGTATATTTCCCACAATCTTCTTATCTTGCCATCAGCGGTTTCTAAGCGTTATACACTTTTCCATGAAGCAAAGCACACTGAAATTGCCTAAAGTCTTTAACACCTAGGCTACCATGGTTATGCTCAACAGCACAACTGGCCTGAAGTTTTAGCACTGGCAAACACGGGATCTACAGCGGTCTTAGGGCATACTGATATCCGATTGGCCCGATAAGCGACTCTGCTACACCAATCGTGCGAATTTTTTTTGGTTCGGCAGTTTTCGAACCTTCTGACATTTTCATTCCTAGATATATCGATAGCGGTTTTTTATGCTGCGATGTGATTCTCCACTGTTGTAAAGGGAACGTGGTTGATTATATGCGTCTGCCGTTGAGTGAAGGAAGCATGACCGTATTCATGCTGTGGGAAAGTAATGTTGGCCAAAGTAGCATTATCTGCACGTGATGATAGATTGGATCAGGTAAAAGCAAATAATTTTTTGGGAGTCAATCTTATCTATTTTCATATTCAGTCAGGTTGTAACGCTTATCAGCTCAGCTATAAAAATCCTTCACTCCAACTTCTTTTTTAACAATTCCCGTTTACTTGCCTTCTTTCTACTTTTAAACTTAAAGAGTGCATGTCTTCGTCGCACGTCATTTCCGATCAGGTTTTTGGTTCTAGTCGACGCGTTCGTTTCATTGGCATGTCGCCTATGGATAGTTTATTATCAGCCATTGATAAAGCCCATCATAATCATCATCAACAACCACCACCGACTCCTCCCATGTTGCCATCTCTATCGTCGTATTTGTCGTCCAACAACAACTCTGACCGACCACAACAAAAATCTCCTACCATGTCAATACAGTCTATCTTAGACTCTCCTCAACAGCAAGAAGCAGCTGCCGCCGCCGCTGGTTTGACAAAGACCGAGGCCAATGTCGCCTCTTTGCTCGCCAACCACCCCAATAACTATTTGCCTCCTTCTCCCCACATGGAAACAGTGGGTATGAAGCGACGACAATGGTCCGATGCGCCTTTTGAATCACAAGATGACCGAGCTGCCAAAATCCGACGTTGTATTCGTGAACAAATTGCTGGTCAACATGCAAAGTATCCTATCTGTGATGCGCCTCCTTCTCCTCCTCATACCGCCAGTGTTTCCAATAACCGCATGACCACTATTACTTGTTTGCATGCTGCGGTTGCTCAAAAATCCTATGGCAGCGAGAAGCGCTTCTTGTGTCCTCCTCCTGTGGTGTCTATCCAATCACCCGCCAACGCACAGACCGACAAGACCATGGAACGTCCCTCCGTAGCCATGTCTGTCATTTGCTCAGAAATTGGTCCAGATCGTACGGTCGGCCAAAGAGCCATTTTGGATGAAACCATGACTGGTAGCTTCAAGTATCTTCATGTTACTGGAACAGCCAAAGCCAAACAGTTTCAACTCCGCGTCAATGTCAGCCATGCTCGCCACGCAAATGAGCCCTATGCCACCTTTGATACCAACCCTATCAACATCATCTCTAAGCCGTCAAAGAAAACTGCCAAGGCTCGCAATGTATCCAGCTGCATTCTTTCCAACTCTCCTGTATCTCTTTTCAACCGCATCAATTCTCAAACCGTTCGCACCAAATACATGACGGTTGAACGATCTCAATTATGCGCTAAGAATTCCACTTGGTCTGCCTTTTCCATCACTGTGGTTCGCTTGGCAGGTGCCAGCAACGGCCGTATGCCTTCCAATGTCCCTGTTTCTTACGGCGCAGAAATCATTCTCACCGATTTGGAAACGGGTGTGTCCTCAGAGCCTTTGATCATTCGCAAGGTTGAGAAGGGTCGCATTGCTCAGCAAGCCGGTGGCCCAGTTAGCCAAATGCAAAAGGTCGCTCTTCAACGTGTATCCTCCATCAACAGTGGCACACCATCCTATTTGTCTGCTGCTGGTGCTTTCACTGATGCTGTCGTTGATCAATCCACCAATAATGCCAACGCATTTTTGGGATACGAGAACTCTCGTGTTATTGTCAATGAAGCCACCGCATCAGAAGGCTCTGCTGCTGTTACTGTCGAAGAAGTCGATGACTATCTTTGCTGGACTATTGTTGGCATTGCCAAATTCCAGTACTCTTACTTTGAAAGCCTTGCTCCCAAGCAAGACGAGCCACAATGCAAAATCACCCCATTCCCAACCTTGACTACCGCAGTCTATAAGCCAGGGTCGCACTCATTGGATCTCTGGACGAAAGATGTCGCTGAAGGAACAGAAATTTGGCTTGGTCCTCATGGCCCTCTCCATGCTCGCCGACTACAAAGTGCAGGTGTACAAGAACAATACACTGTAGAATTACCCTCCACTCAAGATGTCATTGTCACAAACCATGACCTTCTCACCCCTGATACTCACGGTAGCCGAAGCCTTGAACTTCCCATTCTCTTTGTTCGTGCTGATGGCGTTGTCTATCATTCGGGTCGAGCCGTTCGTTGTCGAGTTGAAGAAAATGGAGATGCTGGTCGATGGTGCTTGACCGAAGCATAAAGCCAATGCTATATATTTTTGTTTTCCCTTTCACTGCATATCATATTTTACGTTTGTATATTTCCCACCCCTTGATCTCCATCCTTCATATCAACCACCTCTCCACACTTTTTACTCCTTTTACCCCCCAAAAAATTCACTGTGTTAATCCTAGTCTGGTTACTTGCTTTTAGACAAAAAAATTTTATATTCCACTTTGTAAATATCCCCTCCCCGTATTACAATTTTTTGTTTGCATTATGCCAAAAATTATATAAAATCCAAAAAATCCTAAATTTTCAAAGATATGCGTCATATTGAACCGAGAAAAAACCCCGTTCACGGTAACATCCGTTCTACAAGATGTCTTGTGCCCACGCTTAATCATCCCGTCCTTACCGTGTGAATAGTTACAGTTCATTGAATGACGTGCAAACGCAAAGAGTGCACTGTCCGCAAATGGGATGCTATACCTGGCCGTCGGTAATTTCATGTGGTGGGAAAGTAGAGATAGGCTTAAAACAGAAGGAAGACGGTATGATGAAATTGTTCAGTAGCCAGCATGAATGATGAAGTCGCTGCAAATTGAGCTTGTCGGCCCTCTTCTAGCCATTAAGCATTTGTCACAAAATTGGACCAATTGGTTCTCAGCCAGTGGAGCTTTTCAGTTTTGTCGCCCGCCTGAAAACATTTTGCCCCACACAGTCGCAAGTTGGCCCGACATAGTTATATCCCAGAATACCCATTCCATCTCCCGTCAGCATGGCTAATGTCCTGACAGAGGACAGACTTAAACGTCTACTGGAGCAATACCGCGAGATATGTTTGATGCAGAACCCACAAGATGACTCACCCGACTTGAATCTCGTTACTCACAATGCAGGTGGAGGTGCCAACCATGAAGGTAGCGACGATGACGACGACAGTCAGCAAAAAGCAGAAGAGTATACCTTGGATGAATGGACAACTGGTGTACGAGAGCATCGAAATATTGTGTAAGTTGGAGAATTATGCCGAATAATTTATGGATGCGAGCGAGCGAGCGAACGTTAGATATCTAATGTACACCGACAACTTTAATTAGTGCCAAAGAACCTCGAAGAATTCGTGAAGATCCCGTGGCGTTTTTGCTCAACGTTGGGTTGTTCTACAATGGAACGGTAAGGCTTTGAACAATGAATTCCAAAAAAAAATTCCTTGCTTGATGGACGACTGATTTGTGTGATCTTGTTTGAACAGGGATGGCGTGGTTACAGACACTATATTGGGTCTAAATTTTATTACAAGGGCTTTTCCAATGAGATGAAGGACAAAGTCTTGAATAGTAGAGAAGGTAGGTGGTGGAGCTGCTCACTACGACGTGTCACTATCCACTCGTTCACGCAATACTGATACCACATCCTACCCAGTTCAAAATGTCATCGATCTTCTGGCGGAGAGACAAGCTCATTTCCTGGGCGATTCACAAAAATCAGGATCTCCAGTTCCAGAAAAGAAAAGAATCGCTGAGCTCCAACGAAAGCGAAAGCAGTTTAAAAAGGAATTAGAAGCCGTCGCCAAGGTGATCGCCGATAAATGCTTTTCTAACATGGACGACGTTCGGTTATTGCGATTTTTCGCATTCACTATCAACAACATCTTGGTTCGCTTATATCACCAAGGCATACATATCAAGGAGAGTGAATGGATGGAGGTAAAGTTCAGCCATCGCTTTTCTCAAAAAGTAGCATCATGCTGACATGATCAACCTCAATAGCTTCGTAGAGTAGCTCAGATTGCGGAACAAAAAAAGCAATCTTTGATTCTATTACCATCTCACAAGTCTCACGTCGATTACCTCGTAGTCAGCTATGTCATGTTCCGCCTTGGGTTGCAAATCCCTCATATTGTTGCAGGCGATAACCTAGATATGCCCGTCATTGGGACCTTGCTGCGTGGTTCCGGTGCCTTCTTCATTCGACGAGAATGGGGTGACGATCTATTGTACAAAGCTATTGTTGAGGAATACATAGCGAAGTTGATGTCGGGTGGCTACAACATTGAATGTTTTGTAGAAGGTACTCGTTCCCGTCTCGGAAAGCTGTTGACCCCTAAGTTTGGTATTCTCAAGATCATTCTCGATACCATCCTCGCTGGCAAGGCTACAGACTGCATGCTTGTCCCCATTTCCATTGGTTACGACAAGATCATTGAAACATCCAACTACGCTAATGAGCTGCTTGGAACTCCAAAGCAGAAGGAGAGTTTGTGGGGTGTCTTTTCAAGTTCCAGGCTCTTGCAACTCAAGTGGGGACGGGTAGATGTTCGTGTATCCAAGCCATTTTCGTTGAAAAATTGGATCAATAAGCAAATGGCCATTCGTACAAACTTTGATGTCAGCTTGGCATCAAATAAGGTCGTTTTACTCAAATCTCTTGGATACAAGTATGTTTCTATTTGGTGTGACATGGATGGGTTGGATTAGGTTTGGACATTAGACTAATTTATTTCATTGTTGTTTGCCTTTTCTTATTTAGAGTTCTTGCTGATATTGTAAGTAGCAGCAAACCTCCAAATCCGCTTGTAACGACCAGTGTCCTTTTTTTCATTCACTAATTTACTTAAATCTCAGAATGCCATCTCGGTTGTCATGCCCTCTGCCTTGGTTGGTACAATTATCTTGACGCTTAGAGGACGTGGTGTAGGACGAAACGAACTCATTCGCCGTATTGAATGGCTTCGACGTATCATCATCAACAAGGGTGGCAACGTTGCAGAGTTCGGCAATATTCCAACTGGTGTGATTGTTGATCGGTAAGTTCACAATGAAGAAGGAAAAAAAAAACTCCTGCTTAGGCGGCATACTTAATAATAGATAACAACTACGTAGTGCCACTACCATTCTCAAGGACCTCATTGGCGAACGGACTGGAAAGGAAGTCATTGAGCCGACATTCTATGGCATCAAGCGATTTGAGTTGTCATACTACCGCAACCAAGTCATCCATCTTTTCGTTGAAGAATGTAGGTTGCACCTAGTGATGTTTATCTTTGTATCAATCCCCTCTTACTGATTTCTCTCGCTCTGTCCAGCCATTGTCTGCGTTTCACTTTACACGGTCATTAAACGTGGTGGAGCTAAATTGCAACAGCGTATGCAAATTGATCAACTGCTTGATGAGGTCAGCTTTGTGTCCAGTCTCCTTAAATTGGACATGATCTTTAAACAAGGAGGTGTTGAATCTAATACCCTACGAACGATTCGATGGCTGGTTGAAAATGATGTATTGGAAGTGACCGATGATGGATGGGTTGGTCTAACGGATGCTGAAAGAGCTTGTGGACGCGAGAACTATGGTAAGTTCATGCCGAAATTTACTTCGTCTGAATGAATGCTGTCTCACCCTATGTCTACAGATTTCTTATGCTTCCTCATTTGGCCATTTGTTGAAAGCTACTGGCTTGCGGCGGTTGCTTTGCTATCGCTGACACCCGCCAAGCCAGATGCAGAAGTCCCGCAATGGATAGACGAGAAGACATTTTCAAATCGAACCCAGGCTTTGGGTAAAACACTTTATTACCAAGGCGATTTGGTAAGTTTGTTTGTTTCTCCTGGACTCATTGTGAATTAGCGTAACAGCCACTCAATTGGATCATTCGTTTGCACAGAGCTACCTGGAAGCTGTCAATAAGGAAACCATGAAGAATGCATTCTCTCGTTATATAGAGCAGGGTATTCTGTTGAACCGCAAGTTCAAGACCGGCAAGGTGACAAGCGAGGTTGCATTGAATCCAGAATGTATCCCCAAGCGTGGAAGCGATGGCACCATCTTGCCGGAAGGGCAAGCGTGGGATCTGGTTGAACGGATCGGCAAGTGCAGACGAGAAGGCAAAAACCGTAGAGATAATGCCACAGGTAGGTACACAGACACTGCCAATGTATCGTTCTGCTCAAGAAGTCTTACCCGAAAATTTCAGTGAGTGCACGCACTCTTAGGTTGGCTGACATGGTTGGTCAAGATAATTTGCCCAGCATTCAGGAGCAGAAAAAAAGAGCCAAGGCAGAGGCAGCCTCTGTTGGCGCTCGATTGTAGACTATTTACCTCGTATCTATCTTCTAATACCTGTCAAGCGGTCAATCTATACCGTATTAAAAAAAAACGTTATTTTACTTTTATCATATTCATTTCCCTCATATCATTGTTTTTATTTTATCCCTCAGTATAATGAACATGATGATTTCTCGTTGCACGCCAATATTGAAATATGGCCCGTGCGGAACTTTGCGGGGGTTTGGGGAGTTTGGATTGGTATATGCGTCCTAATTTCAACCAAGACGTTTGGGCTTGCAAATAGCGTAAGATAGGGGACTGAGGTAGCTAATCCATAAAGAATAGCTCTTACCTATGCCATGTAAGGGTTCCAACGTCATTGAAGGCAATAGAAATAAAGCAATGAAGAAAAGTCGATGGAGCAAATGGGTTGTAACGTCATTTCATCCTAAGCAATAGACGCAATTCGAATTCAGTTTTATAACATATGCTCCCGAAAAGTCAATTTTATCGTCAACAAATTGACTCGTTGATATCTACAGTAATGAATTGTGTTGCTTGAAATGAAATTAAAAAACGCTGTTTCCCTGACTGCTAATAATATTATTACGTCGAGTCGATATTGGCGAATACGGGGTATCTGCGTCAATATATAAATGATCAACTGCTGTATTGGTGGGTGTAACCCTTTCGATTTTGCTATTGTTTTTATTGCTTCAACTCTGCCGAGCATCTTCACTTTTTAAAACATTACGCAACTTCAACTCTTTTCTCAAAACTTCGTCCCATCATGATCTATAAGTTAGCCATCATCAGCGCATGGATGTCGATCGTTTTGGCGCAAGCAAATGATGGTGTCTTGCCACAGAGCTCACCAGCATTTTTATCCGACGTTCCCAAGCCTACAGGTGTAGTTGACGCTGTACCTACTAAGCCATATCCAACCGGTAGCTTGGACATGCATTGGAAATTGGATCTTTCCAAGTACCCTGCAGTGAAGCAAGTGCCACCCACCGACTCCCCCGAAGTCAAAAATGCCATTGCTGCTATTGACTGGACCAAAGTTCCAAAAGCACCTATTCGCAAGAAGCTACCCAACGGCAGTCTCGATGTATCCAACTATAACATAGATCAGGATCCCGACTGTTGGTGGTCCGCTAGTATTTGTAAAACTCCAAAGGCGACGTACCTTCCTTCCGATTATTACATGTGTCCCACCGTTGGTGACTGGGGTCTCAACTACGACGATGGCCCATTGAATCCGGTCAACTTTGACCATCCCGACAGTTGGGCTGAACCTGCCCTTTACGATTTCTTGACGGACCAAAATCACACTGCCACATTATTTTGTAAGCTCACTCCTAAAAAAGTATCACCCAGTTTAGATATGTTTTTGTTGACTTTTTCTCTCACTTTAATATTTAGATATTGGCTCGTATGTGGTTAGTTTCCCCAGCGCAGCTCAGAGAGCACTAAATTCTGGAAACGTCCTCTGCAGCCACACCTGGAGTCACAAGCAGATGACTTCCCTCACAAACGAACAGTTAGTCGCTGAATTCTACTGGTCACTTCGTGCTATCAAAGAAGCTACAGGTGTTACTACCAAGTGCTGGCGTCCTGTAAGTTTGTCCTAGGACGGAACCCAATATGGCAGTGCTGTAGATTTAAGAGTACTAACCTAATTTTATCTTCAGCCGTTTGGAGACGTTGACGATCGTGTCCGCGCTATCGCACATCAAATGGGTATGCGAACCTTTTTGTGGGAACAAGATTCGTTTGATTGGCAAATAGGATCTAGCCATCCTTCATCAGAAGTTGATGGATATTTCGAAAAATGGCTTGCTGATCGCAACACCTCTGCCGATTCGACAAATGGCCATATCACTCTTCAGCATGAGCTCAATGCCGACACCATCAAAACCGCCATGAAGTGGCTACCTCAGGTGTCCAAAAAGTTCAACGTCATGCCTATTCATCAATGTCTCGATGATACGTCGCCTTACTGGGAATCAAACTTTGTGTATCCCAAGCGAGACGGAAGTGTGCCAGAAACCAAGCAGCAAGTCGATAGCAGTAAGCCATCAGCAGCATCCCGTGAAAGCGCCTCGGGTAGCGCTTCTACCCAACAGGCTTCTTCTTCATCATCATCTATGCATGCTACTTTATTGCCTTTCGTTGCCGCCACTGCCATGTTTATATATAGCACCTACTTTTAAACATAATTTTGTTTATATAGAATCTTTGCTTTAGAGCAACAGTTATGTACATTGGAGGAATCCGAATCAATTTTTTTTTTTTGATAAATTCATTTCTTTGATCATAGTAGTGTTTTTAAGATGAGATCAAATGTATTGGAGTGCGACATGCTCTATGCGTGTGTTAGATGGATGTCAGTCCTAAACAAAATGCTGCTAAATTATATTCTACGACCTTCCTTGAGCATAGTTGGCAGCGATAATCGCAAAGCTATTGTCTGGTATGTCTTGCAGTTGTTGAGGCATTGCAAAGCAGCACACTGCGCAATGAATGATAAATTATAAGCAATGATCATAGTGCATTCGAAATGTTCAGTTGTCGCCTCTCTTGTTATAATTAAACAAACATAACCCGAACTTGTTGTATGGCTAATATCAACGCCGATCTTTTCTCACTTCTGAAACCTACTGGGTTTTGACTGTTGTATATTACACATTCTTCTATTGATTCTGTTCTGATAGTTAGATGAGAAAATTTAATTTAATAGATTGAAGGAACAAGGTTACCCAACGTCGCGATTTCAGAACCCCATCGTTTTCTTAGTATGCTTGGCTGGTCCGGCTAACGAGGATTCTGAGAAGTCATTTTGTTCAATTCATCATCAATAGGAGTATTATTGTTTCGCGTCAATTACTCTGAGACACACGTGTAAGAAACTGTGATACCATTCATCTATCTTTGCCTGAGAAAACGAATGAGACCATGACAAGGACAGACACCATTTAGCAAAGATTTCTTTGTAAGGACAAAGGTACAGCAACCAATGTTTCGTACAGCACTTCCCCTCCTTGAGTCCTGGTAACCTTTCCATTATTAAAACGTTCAAAAGACATTGATGAATGCATCTGGATATATCTCTCTCGAGAAAATGGGCAAGAGAAAATATATTCCAATTTGACTTGCCCAATCCTGCTTCCACAGGTGTCTACAACAGGCTTCGTGACAATTTTTGTCTTGGTAAAAATATGAAGATCTCCAAAATGTAGATTTGAAATGCAGTACCCCACTGTAAAGTTCATGGAGATGAATGTTTATGCGTTGAATCCAGAAGTTGCTCATCTGGCAGTCTTTCGTTATGTGGTATTTCATGTTCCTGACATTTTTGACAGATCCAACTCTTAGGGCCCTATCAGAATCATGCCCTGTCAGGATATGCGATTGCTACCGATGGCTTCTGCCACAATATTTGATTGATCCCTCAAAATCATAGACACCGCAGTAATGTGTTTTTTATTATTATTAAGATTATAGAAGGGTTTCGACCTTGCCAAAGGTCTCATCAGATGGCTTTAGGCTACCATTACCCCTGCAGACCGGCTGTCATTGTAGAAGGTTGCAGAGCAACACAACTACATGACCAGAGCTCCTAAGTAGCTTGCCAAGCACACTATCTTTGGAGAACTGACTCTTCGATCTAGGAGCCCTTCTCAAAGCTGGCAAGGCTCTTCATAGAAGGATCCCGGAGGTTTAGATCGTGAGCAGCCGGATGTTTGAGAGCTCTGTTAAAAATTTCTAAGCTATTTGCTAAACTACTTTCTAAACTACTAATCTCTAAACTACATTTCTAATCTACCTTTCTTGATATCCTCTGCTCCTTGCCAACCTTGTCTGTGGTGACCTTGGCGGTCAGATAAATGGTACCTGGGTATTTGTATGTGCTTATGTACTTACCCAAACCTCTACCTAAATCTTCAAGTGGGGAAAGCCTGGAGAACTTGCTCTGATCTGACCTATAAGAAAAAAGGATGAGGAAAAGCGTGGGAATGGAAATGATGGGTTCTTTATATACGAAGTAGCAAATGGAAGAGCGGTCCCATCACATGAGGTAAAGCTATTCATGCAACGGATGGTAGTGGATGAAAGAATTTTTTGATCCGACCTCGGCCCAACAGTCTTGAGGCAGGGAAAATCTGATAGCGAGAGGTACGATTGTGCCTGGTTTGAAATTTTTTGGCTAACACTCTCTCACAACCAACCTTACTCAAATGGTTCCAACAAAGCATATCCCACCTCTACTCTTCGCTTTGAAATCGTCTTTGGATAAAAGTGTTGCATGATAGCGGTCCTGAGTCGTTCTTTTTTTTTTTAGGACCCGAGCTTGTCCGGGAAGTCGTGAGCTGTCCCGACTAACAGTCTCGTATATTCTATCCAATCAAGAGGCATTAACCCATTTCCAGGGTAGCCGTGATCAGAGCAGTGAAGATGAAGAGAGCAAGGTGAAGATGCTAGGTGAGTGGTATGAAAACGTGAATCCGCCACAATGTCTCTATTAGAGTTTGACAGCTTGGGTTAAATGCCGCTTTCATAGGCACCATTGTAAAGACTACGCTCTCAATCAGCCCAGAAAGTTAAGCTTATGCAAGTGAAACCGAGAACTGCTCAACCATCAGCACGGGCAATCATATACCTCAACGCAATAGTAATCCTAATGCTGCCGATGATATCAAATGCTAGAATTCGTATTCACGCTGATTCCTAGGCTGCATTTACTTATGTATTGTTTACGTTTTATAAACTTTGCTATAATTGGTAGCATCCCGGCAATGGGAAGGGGCATTTCACCATACTCTCGCAATAACATATGTTCGTTCAAGCGATTGTAAAGCGGAACTACACCCTGTGATATACTTTGTATAATCTAACCAGTACAACTGGTGAATTATACTTTAATAACTTGAAGATTCTTCTAAAGCTATAGAGAAGGGAACAGTCGCTGAATACACTTGTTGCTCAACAGGAAAGATTATCGGCATTACGTTCTGTGGATGGATGACTCGCTGTCATAGAAATAGCGACTATATGATAGAAAAGGAGAGTACTGGAGGAGCTATAACCAACGAAGCACTATATAGCATGAGTAAGTTATCTGGATCAGGAACAGCAAAAGTAGTTTATATAGTACATGTGAACTGTTGTTCCGTTATGGAGTTTACAACCCTGCCTCTGCATTTCACTTGATTCTTCCTGGTGAGCAAATCTACTTCAATTCTACAAAATGGCTCAAATATCGCACATTGATCCAACTTCGTCCTGGGGACTCATTGAACAAGCATGCTCAATCTTATCTTACAACAATGTTTCGGATTGTGTTGTTGCTCTTCAGGTGAGATAGTACCCAAGGATATATGATTTTCTTATATCCCTGCGCCATGAGCGAAAGAAGACGCCTTTAGAATGATTGATAGGGAACACTGATTTCAAATAACGATTGACGTGGTCATTGGTTGGCCGATCCTTGTGTTGCATGAAACTTGTTTCTTTTTTCAGTAGTGGCCAAAGCACCATCGCCGAACAGCATGCGCTGTGTTAGATCCACACTGACAACACTACTTCGGCTGCGCACGCTTTCAACATTTGGAAGGGGAATGAGACAGACTTACAGTAACATTATCGATGCTATTACACAGTGAGAGACAGACATATGGTGAGCACTCTGCTCCTTCATGTTTTGAAACGTGGTCGTTACGCGAGAGCCATAAATTTATTGCTCAATTTTACAACAACGCTACTGTTCCTGAAAATATTGAGCAGTTTTGAACTCACTTCTAAAATAAAAATTTGTAATCTTTTACATCCATTGAGGACCCGGTTTTGGCTTATAGCATTCGAATGTCCACGTTCTGGCATTCATTTACAGATTTTGGTAAAATTCGAAGATGAGCAAGCTGAAAGTTCATCACATGACTTGTCACTGCACCTGTCATATAAACCAATGGCGATTTCCTGTTCAAATTTATCTGTAACAGTCGTTTCATGGCAATCACTGAATTCAATACAATACTGAGTACTTTCAGTTCCGCGGCTCAACCATCAATATCGCTGGATGTGTCCAACAAATCGCAAGAAATATTGTGAAATCAAGTGTTTGGTGCGGTGGACGAAACAAAATTTTCATCTCAAGTTTTAGTGCCACATTTTCAACAGAGACAACCACCGACTCAGCGTGGAACAGGATAGCGGTAGGCGATAGAACGAGCGCGCGAGAACAACACTCTTTTATCTCAATGATGTTGGCGGTAATTTTCTCAACAGGAGTTGGGCGTCTGTTTCGAATTGGTGAGTTTGAGATACATGAAGTTCTTTCAAAGGGGAATCCGTATGTGCGATGTAACACAGGCGATACAAATAAAAGATTTTGTTGAGCTTCATGTTTCCCACTTCATGTTTTCCAAACAGACAAGGTTACAAAGAAAAAAATTCATTGCTGTACGATGTTAATTTGAAAGCGATAGGACTACTGTTCAGGAATGAGACAGTAGCGGGGTGGAGCCAGGTATGAAACCATTGAAATACACGTCACCAAGTTCTGGAACTTATAACCTTACCACAGAGTTGTCTCTAGCGTCATATAAGCGAAAAAGGACTGGGATTTTGTACGTTCCGGTTTCTATCTTACATTTCGATATTCACAAGCATGTGCATTTAAGCAGCGAAGTACAATTGCACGAAAATAGTAGCAATTTACTGCCGAACCCGGCCATTGCTGATCGCCGTTTTAGGCAAGTCTGTGATTCTAGCCGACTATGTCTTTTTGTTGAGGGCAGAAGCAACACCCAAATACAACATAACTGAGACCTAAAGTCTACAATTGTCGTCGAACACAAGCACTTGCTATACGGCACGTCCGACGTACCCGCGGTGATAATGGTACCCGCCTAAAAAATGGCCATTTTTGATCATAATACGGAAATAGAATCGCCTGTGCGCGCCACACTCTTTCAAATTCCTTTGACTGCATTAACATTTTTTTAATCAAAGAGAGCAACGGAGTGGAAAGGTGTTCATGTGGGCCTCGCATCTTCAGCGTCCAAAATATGAGACACTACGTAATGATGGCAAAAGTTGAAGAAGAGGGGCGAGACAGTGTTTAGAGAAAGGAAAAGAGGCTGTACAATTCGGAGTGACTTGAGAACTGCAAGAATTTTTACCCTTTTGACACGCAAAGATTCGTATATTAATGCAGCCAACTTTTTCCAACTTTTTTTCTTCTTTTCCTTGGTCTACTCCTTCACCATTGTTTTAATGTTTGCGTATATGAGCCGCAGAATCTTTGTATATTTGTTCTTATTCCTCACACTGTTCACCGTTGTTAATGCTTTACCACGCCCAAACATTGACGATTTAATCACGCAAAATTCCCACCAAGAACAGGCAAGTATTTTCTAAATCTGTTATAATCACAAAGTGCTATTCTGTGTTCTGGCCTTGGAAGTAGCAAGAAGTCCAGATTCAACGCAGCTACAACTGTGATTGAATTCCCATTTACTGCCGCCACTACTGCTTACCGATCACTAATCTTGGGTCCATCTTACTCTATTTGGATTTATTATGTTAGGCCACTGTATTGGATAACGGTGAAACAAAATCGGTACTAGCCCGAATACGAGATTGCTTGAAAGGAGGACAGTTTGATATATCAAAAGGATGTCGACCCCAACGAGTGGATAAGCATATCATTTCAATCGAATCTCCATCTCCCAACAAAGTCAACGCCCCGCAACCGGACAAATCGGGTCGGAGCGGCAAGCATCAGTATATATCCAACGAAGTGTTCGATTGTTTGACATCTGATTTATTGTTGATTTAGAAATAGTTCTTTAAGGTGTCTTTTGTCTATACCCTTGTGGGTTATACTGAATAATCCAAATATATACTCATCCCTCGCCTGGATAGCGATCATAACTCTGTTTTATCTTGATTGTTGCTAGAAAACTCAAAACTGGACCACCCAATGGTTGAGAAAAAGTCGTCTAATATCTTGACAGCCTTATCATCGCCGGCAGCACCAACAGCTACATGAAGAGGAACAAGATGTTCAGCAGTAGGATGACATTTCCTGAATGCTGGGTCTTTGTTGAGTTTGCACACTTCAGCCTTTCGTTGTTCCCCCTATAAGTGATGGATGGTCAGTCACTTATATGTTTCGTCTTTTTCAAATTTTCAGCACCTACCGTATACTTCAACACACTATCCTCCAAGTTTTTATCGAAAGATTTGATATAGGATGGTGATGGTCGATTGATGTGCTGCCACATATCGCGAAGATTGTGCTCTGCAGCACCACTACCAATGATCAGCACGCCTTCGTCTCTGCGATTTTCAATTTGTTGTGGATGAGATCTTTTGAATATCAATGTATAAATAAAAACAGATAAACATCTTTCTGCTCACCTTAATGGTTGAAGTGCTTCTCCCAGTTTGACATGAGATGCCATATCTTCATGCTCAAATGTTGATACTTGAACAAGTGGTATATCGAAATCAGATAAAGCTCTCTTCAATGGGACCCACACGCCGTGGTCAATACCACGCTTAGTCAAAGTTGCTGGAATTCCTTTCTATATATATGTTGTCAATGATTCGTATCTTGGCTAAATCCACTTATGTTGCCCCCATTGCACCCACCTGCTTCAACAACTCTGCCACTTTGTTGGCCAAAGACGGTAATCCAGTACCGTTCCATGTTTGTTTGTAGTATTGTGGCGGAAAACCATAGAAGTCGTATATCAATTTCAAGGGACCTTCGGTGGCCTCCACTAGAATGCATTCTTTAAAAGGCGTGAAGAATTTAAACACACCATGATCTGCAGGTCTTACCATAAACACCGTTGCCATCTCCTTGCCAGTGAGCGCTTACGATAACCACCGCCTTTGGCTTGATTTTCTCTCGGATGGTTTTTCCAAACCAGTCATAGAATTTTCCAGGCTTATCTTTATCGTCCAGTAGGTTGGGTCCACCGTGGCTGATAAAATATGTTGGTAATCTGGTTGCGGACATATAAAGTGGTCTGGTCGAACGAAGCACTGTGACGAAAAATTGGCGGGAGAACTCGATTGACGACGGAGACCGCATTTATATATATTTGTGACCGACAATGCTGGCTGAATCAGCCTGACTAATTGGAGCTCCGCACAATTTAATAACTTTGAAACGACTGCTGCAGGCATGTAAAGACAATCAAGGTAGAAATACCTTCAGGTAGTACGACATTTGTTTGGTAATTTACAAATTAGAGTGTTCATAATAGTCTTTATTGGTAATGGCACAAATTGAGTGTTCAAGTATATAAACAGTGTTCACAAAATTACGCATAGGGACGCTCATAATCACATCAACAGAATACGACTCAAAGCTGTTCAATGGAACGATGGTCTGACATTAGCGTTCTTCAGGAAAGCGAGCAATCTCATCACCAATGCGTTGGTCCCGTTTGCTTGATAAAAGTCCACGACATAGACGATAACACTGCCCTGAATCCTCATCTCAAACCAAAGAAATTTTGTAGAGTGACTACAAACTGTGCAAGGAGTCGATATGCGCTCGTCGTCAAAAAGAGCTTGCAAGTCTCTTGTTAACTGTAGGTAAAAAGACCTGCAGGAAAGAAATAAATACGAGAACATAAGGATACTCAGTGCCTGTATCCAATTGACTTGACGGCAATACATCCAAATTTTGGCATCTGTGTCGGAATGGTGCATCGCGGGTTACTAATCCTTCTGCAAGTCTTTCTTCTGAAAACGTTTCGGAGTGACGTTACCTTCAAACAGGTTGACAATGCCCTTTCATAAATACTGAAAAGGAAACTGTCATATCTATGTTGCAATCCACGGATGGATGTAGAACCGGTATAGCATGAGAAAAATTGCGAGTCGAAATGACAACGAACCGACCAGATTGTCGAGTAGACTTATTGATCATATGATTCTGCATGTATAGATAGATGGCGACGTTTGCATGGCAAACTTGGTGTATACGTTTGTTGGACTGGCCAGTTGTGCGACAATGGTGTCAAGCCAGTGCACTCTGACTGGGAGGTTTTTATGAGTGTGTCCGTATCATAATAGTTGCTGTTCAGAACTTACAAGGCTCTGGCCAATTCTCTGCCAGAGTCGGGATAGCTGTCAACAGAATAGTGAATGTTTTCATACCATCAAAGCACGTTCGTGCGACGCCAGTAATATTCAGGGCTTTGATGACGAATAGCTGTGTGGCGACTCAAATGTGGTATTGGATATGAGACTTCTATTCTTTTAGCCGAAAGATACATTGGAACACGGTGTTATTTCCTACATGGAGTTTGGGTTAAAAATTTCATCCCTTCAATAGTGTACACGCTTGTAGAAAAACAATGACAAGGCAATGAGGTACCTGACCAGGGTCAACATTGTCACGTATCGGTATCAAAAAGTCAAAGGCGAGTAACACGACTTGTTGGCTGAGTGTTTTGAAAAGTCAGCTTTTCTGCATGTAGTAGATGGCAAATCATCAAAGACTTGAAATGTTAGACACACTGTGATCTCAGCATTAAAAGAGTAAGAATAAAAAAATAGTGTTTGCAGGTGGTGGGTTGAAAAGTTTCGTAGTCATTGTTAACGACATAGCAAACAGCTGCTCTGTAAAGAAGATTGATTAAATGTTTTATGCGAAATTGATGAAGGAACCTTTGTCGCAAAACAAAGCTAGTTAATAGCAAAAAGACATTGGTAACATGTTTATCCAATGAATTTTATATATCAAACGTAGGTGCACTAACTTTTTGTTTGAGTTTCGTCGATATGTTTTGTTGGCATTGGGTAGCAATTAGAGTATTTATTATTAGTTTGGGAATGGAGCTTCTTTATAATTTACGTGCTTATGTTATTTCATTTTTCTAATCCTCATCTTCATCTTCCTCTTCCTCTTCTTCTTCTTCTTCTTCTTCTTCTTCTTCCTCTTCCTCTTCCTCTTCCTCTTCCTCTTCCTCTTCCTCTTCCTCCTCCTCCTCTTCTTCTTCTTCGTGTTCTTCTTCTTCCTCCTCATGTTCTTCTTCTTCTTCTTCTTCCTCATGTTCTTCTTCTTCTTCCTCGCGTTCTTCTTCTTCTTCCTCATGTTCTTCTTCTTCTTC